CCGCTCAGCTTATGGGTTAGTGCCCAGCCTTTAACCTTGCCTTTCTCTCCCCCAACACAAAAACCATGCTTGTCCCAGCTCCTTTCTCCCACCCCTCCCACACTACTGTTTTCACTTGTATACTTGCCCTTCCCCCCTTCCTTCTCTGCTCTCACATAGCTGTGTATATTTCCAACACCAGTCTGCTTTTACCGGTTCTCACGGTCTCTTTGCTTGCAGATTTCTTATATTTTTTCTTCTACCCTGAAGATGGAGGCGATACATTCCTCCGAAACGTCGGTTAACACCACATATACACGGTGCCAAATCCCAGAAGACTGCTTTCTTCATGGTCTTGGGTAATTGTATATTATTACATAGATGATATTTTCATAATATACAATCAATTGTAAATAACTTTTTATATGAAAACTTATAAGTATATAGTAGGAACTTTGTAATAGTAGTTCCTGAACATGTCAATCTTATGCCTTCTGAAGACGGTCAGCTGACCGAAACATGTAAAAGCAATAAATGACTACAAATTGAATCACACTGGACGGTGTTAATAATTATTCTATAATTTACTGTTGTAGACTTTGCTGTTCACATTGCATGTGATTTGAGAATCATGTTACTTTTATATATTTTTTGCAACGATATTTCTCTAAAATCAAATCTCTTCTCCAGTTTGAATTATAATTTTGTATGAACTATTTCATAAAATAAAAAATTGTTCCAAAATGTTCACAGATCTCTCCAGGGAGCTTACAGCTAATGATTATGTTTAAATTCAGATTTTTTTATAGAAACAATGGAAATAATCAATACAACTTCTCAAGAAATACTGATTTAATGTAGAGGGCTGTGTATTTAAAATTAAGTCATAAAAATATTGTTTATAAAATAATAATGAATACAATTCTTACTGAGTGATTCATACATTCTGACAAATGAGAATTAATTATAGAACACTGTGTTCTAATGACAGAGGATTCTTAACCAAACGTCTATGTATTCACAGTTTGTCTATAAGGCAAAAATTGTTTTATTCACCATTTAACACTCAACACAACATGTTTCTGCCATAGATGGCCATCTTCAAGTGTTTTAATGCATCCAACTGTTACACTGTTCTGTTCAAGAATTTTCTATAAAATCCTATTCCACCTCATAAGGGGTGTCGTCCACTTGTTTAGAGTTATGTGTTTATTCCAGAAAGTTTGTTTCAACAGCTTTTAATAGAAAATTATAATGGATTTCAAGTAATTATTTATGTTATTTTAAGTGGACTACAACGTGCGAGTTTAGCACACTTCAGAACAGTGTAACAGTTGGACGCATTAAAACACCTGAAGATGGGCATCTATGGCCAAAACATGTTGTGTTGAGTGTTAAACAGTGAATAAAACAACTGTTGCCTTATAGACAGACTGTGAGTACATAGACGTTTGGTTAAAGATTTGCGACAGGATACTGAAATACAGAATTAGAGGGTTCTTAATTTGAATATATATTTCTGAAAATGGTTCTCATGTCAGCAAACATTTTAAACAGTACATATACTTATTGCTTTTTTGTTAATTTCTGCAGGTCGTTGTGCTGTAGGTAGAGCTGAGTTTGAGAAAGTGACAGGCTATGAACTTCAAGGTCAACGAGAATACCCTCTTCTGAGGGGACATAATCCTGGACTTGCAGTTCAGTGTGCTAACCAGTGTAAAATAGACCCACGTTGTCATGGGTTCAATTTTAACTATAAACTCAATGAATGTACAGCTCTGGAAGGAGATGCTGATCCAACAAGAATCGACATTCGTCAAGTGCCTGGTGTTGCTTATTTTGAAGGAGTCTGCCTACGAGGTTTGGAGTTAATTTTATAGACCTTATTTAAAAGTGAAATTGTAACTAATCACCTACAGTATACACTGTCAGTCAGACACAAGACTAAACAATAGAATTATTCTTGCAATAAATATTAAGCTGGTGAAATACCATTGCAAGTAGATCGTTCCTCTTCCATGTTTACAGGTCACATTATTTTCTGTTGTATGTTGGATATGTTGATAGCAATGCACAATTTCTGCATAACTTTCCAATAGAATTTAGCAGTGTTTTGTTTACTGAAGTTATAATACACCATATACAAGGTGGTTCAAATATGACCGGGACTAATTTTTTTTTAAACCAAAACTGCCAAATACTTACTTGCACATGTCAGTCTTCAACGTACTCCCCTATGGAGTCAACACATTTTTTCCAACGTTCTGGAAGCATCCTGATGCCCTTTTTAAAAAAGTTTTGTGGTTGGCGGCGTATCCACTCCCGAACATTCTGGATGATGGCGTCGTCGTCCACAAACCGCATGCCTTGCAAGTCTGATTTGAGTCTTCCGAACAGGTAGAAATCACTTGGTGCCAAATCGGGACTGTACGGCGGATGTGTCAGAAGGTTCCATTTCAATTTCTGGAGGGTTTCCATTGTTGTTTTGGCCGTATGGAGGCATGCATTGTCTTGAAGGAAGGCTACCCGCTTTCCACCTCTCTTCCACTTGGATCGGATATTTTCCTTCATGTCTGTTGCCAGGAGTTCTGAGTAATAAGCTGCATTGACTGTTCTGGCATCTGTCAGAAAGTCTACATGGATAACCCCCTGCCAGTCCCAGAAGAACGTTGCCATCACTTTTCCTGCCAAACGGCTCCTCTGCGCTCTCTTGGGTTTGGGAGAATTGGTATGCCGCCAATCGCATGATGATTGCTGGGAATGGTGAATGAAGTAGTGCACCCACGTTTCATTGGTGGTCACTATAGACTTCAAAAATGCATCACCTTCATCTTCAAACTGCTGTAGGAGACGACTAGCAACTTGCATGCGCACCATTTTGTTCACGTCCATCAAAGTGCGTGGTACCCACCGTGCATTCACCTTGTGATAGTGCAGGTGGTATTTCATGATGTCTTCTACACTACCAACACTGATGGACAGCATTGCTCCAAGTTCCTTGATAGTGATGCGCCTATTCTCACGAATAAGTGCGTTTGCACGATCAATGTTTGGCTTGGTGACGGATGTTCACGGCCGACGATCATGCGGTTCATTCTCCATGCGCTCTCTGCCCTCTCTGAAGCACTTACACCACTCAAACACATGGGTCTGTGAGAGACACTCTTCCCCATACTGTTGTTGGAGTCTGTGGTGAATTTCAGCGGACGGGACGTTTTCTCCAACGAGGAATTTGATCACAATGCGTTGTTCCATGCTCCGCGATACCTTCTGTTCTCTCATCACTCTAGCAACTTCCAGACAGGACTGAACAGGTTCTAACCCTAACAGGAGGGAGGGTGGAGGTTGTGGCTTCAGTCTCTCAAGGTCGCACAGCTGCTGCACAGTGCGGCTTGTTTACAAGAAAATCAGTCCCGGTCATATTTGAACTACCTAGTACTTTGCAGCATCATAACGAATGGGAAATATGTTACAGAATTTTCATGAATTTCTTTCCCATATTAGGAGCTGGATGTGGTATGGCTTGGACATTTGAACGTCATGTAAACCGTGAGTTGAGGGGTTTCACAAATGCTCATTACATTACTGGGAGCAAAACTGAATGTGAAGATCGCTGTCTAGATGAAAGATCATTCATCTGCAGGTGAGGTGACAAAACTAATACTGAACCTCTTGTTGAGATTTTATACATGTGACTGTGTCATGATCAGTGGTTATTATATGTTATACAGATCTCTTAACAACACAATAATTAATTACATTTTAACATTACTGAATAACATTGGCTTTCAGGTTTCATAGGATTACATCCTCTTTTTGTATTTCTGTAGGTCATATGTAACCATCTCACAAACATACAAAAGACATCTTATAGCTTTTTATTTCTATCTTTTTGTTCACAATAACATGTTTTAACCACATCACCATCAAGTTAATTCAATGAAGATGGCTAAAATATACAGACTGATTTGTTAAAATGTCACAATGTAAAAATGAAAGAAGTATGAAAGTAGATTAAAGGAATTGTGTTTAACTGATTCAGTTAAACGGGACAAAATGACAATGTACTCTCTATTCAAGATACAGAGGAGCCCAGAACTCATGTTCTTACATATATATTTCCATTATATACATAGTATACATACACAGACACACACGCTAGTGTGTAAATAAATATATGTTACAATGCTCTGTGGTACATAGATCGGTTCAATCTGATCACATTTTGTTAATACACCCATGTCCTGAAACGCTGTGTTTACGCACTAGGGCGTCTGAAATGTGAAGGAGGACGCCCGTACCTCTTACTTTTATGGCTTACTGGTGACATTAACCTGACATTTCCCCAAGAGAGCTTACCTGAGCTGCTGGAAGTGGTGCCTTTGGAAGTTCATAGTGGAATGTGGTTCCAGCATGATGGCATCTCAGCACACTGCACTAATGTTGCCCATGAGTATTTGGATGAAACCTTTGACAACAGATGGATCGGACATGGAGGCCCTATAACCTGGCCCTCTCCCTTCCCTGACTTGACTCCACTGGATTCCTTTCTCTGGGGGTACATGCATTGTGATCTTGTGGCAAGAATTGCAGTAGCAGCTGGAACCATGTTGGTAATCTTTCAAAGAGTTCAGCATAACATGGCCAGGCAGTGAAAAGCATGCAATGAAGTTGGCGACCACCATTTTGAACAACTATTATAATGTAAAACAAGGATAACATCCCCTAAAACTTATGCATCCTCTCGGAAACTTTTATGACCCGTAGTGCCAAAAGGAAGCGTTTCCTGACATGGGTGTATAAACAAAATATGGTCAGATTGAACCCATCTGTCTACCACAGAGCACTGTAACGTACATTTATTTACACTCTGTGTGTATATATATATCTGTGTGTGTGTTCAAGTATATTATTCATAATAGACTGGGTTTGGATTGAATGATTGGATTTATTGACGCCTCATACAGTCACCTCGTACTTACAAGCAATATAGCACATTCACTGATTTACACAATTTACAGTTCATTGTTACATACACAGTAAGATTCTCAGCCTCCACTAGTCATATCCTGGTAACAGAAGTAAAAGTGTCTCACTGTGACTAAATCTTCTAATCACACACTAAGTCTTCACAGGCCGACTTCTAATTCTTCTTCAACTACCAATTTTTCATGGCTATATCTCGCTGACAACTGCCTCAGTTCTCATTCTCATGCTCTGTTGTTGTACTCCATTTTATGTCATTGTATTCCTACTCTTTTGACTTCCTTGCAACTAACTGTGCCCTCTTATAAGTCCTCGGCATGTACCCCTCAGAAAGCACCATCTTCTGTTGTCGAGAATGCATGTTTATTGGTCCATTACCTAGCAATGGATATATGTGAATCACATAGAAAATGCCTCTTGCAATACTGGTTCTATTGTTGCATGCACGTATTTCGGGCATTGCCTAGAAATGGGTCTGCATATTACAATATATATTGTCTCATGTTGGTGGCTGTGTGTTACACCACAAATAACTTCATGCCAGTCTTGGATCTAGCGAATTTATTGCACACTCGCTCTTACACTTACACAATTCACAATTTCATTATCCCAGTTACTTCTTCTGTGATAGTTACTTCCAGACTTCAACTGTCTCTGGATGCTGCTATATTTCAACTGACACTGACACACTGTCTCTGCAAATGCATTCAACCCTTTATTATAGGCCTCTCGTGGACCACACAGAAAGCAGCCTATATTATTTGATGTGTTTACCGACCCATTGCCTAGCAACAGTCATTGCATGGACTTCACTGTTGCATGATGTCACAGACTAGTGGTGAGGGGTGTTTACCGAGTGTTGCATAGTGAGGTGGTGAGTGGGGATATGTGATGTCACTCACACTTCCTGTTGCACTATCCAAGCATTCACAGAGTTGTTGCCTAATAACTTGCCCATACAATCCACAACTCTCCCGTTGCGCACGTGCCCTGAGACCTCTGTGGCTGAACAGTTTCTGCATAGAGCAAATATGCCACAGTATAATTATCTTGGCCAAATTCTATCTGAAATTTATATATTATATTTTGTGTTTGAGGATTTCAGTAAATCTTCTAGTATTTATTTTTAAGAATGGGCAAAGTTAGCAGATGAACTGAGTATGTGCTGAACTATTAAATGCTTGAAGACTGATTGGTGCAGTAGAATGTGTTTAACGAGGTCAGGACTGACATATTTACATGGCTTGATGATGTACATATAGGTAACAATTCACACTGTTACCTATAAGCACAGTGGGAACCGAAGTGAAGGCAAATGAAGAAGAGGTAAAGGTCAACCAAGGCAGCCTGATTGCCATGATAAAGTCCAGCCAAGAAAGTGTGAGGGGTGCCCAAGATCATCCAAAGGGACTTGGCAGTCAGATCAAAGGAGCAACTTAGAAGTTCAGAACACAGCTGACAGAAGTCAAAGCCCACGTGGGGTGTGGAGGCTGCAGGAATGCAGTTACCAGTGTTGGAAGGGATAGAGTGCCCCAGGGGCCAGGTTTATCAGCGATCATATGCACAGGACTGAATGACCCACATGCTGATAGTATGAGGACTTTGGCTATCTTAGGAAAATCTGCTGATAGGGATACCCTCAGAACGACTGCCCAAGAGGAAGTGAGCCAGGGCCCAAGAAATGAGTAGGAGACAGTGCCAAGGTGATGGTACCATCATTCCTGCTCCCTCATTACACCCTCAGCAAGTCGACAGCCTAACACAGAGCTGGAAAAGGGAGAAGTAATGCACTGTGATCATTGACACAGGGGCATCAGTGACAGTCACCAGGTCTGACGTCACCAAAGAGAACTGACTCGACCATATGTACTACAGATAGCATCAGAGTAGATCCTCCATCTTGAAGATTGGAGGAGCCCACTGACACCTTGGATATTCATCTCCAGAATCAAAGAGGTGTTCATCCTAGGCCAGGATGTCCTGCACACCCATGACTCATACCTGGATCTGAGGCACCATGTACTATGGAAATGTCATTAAGGCATCCCGGAAAGGGACCACATTCTCCACCCTACAGGAAGTGCAGCAATGAGTTTGTAGCAGCTTGATATGGCAGTCATAACAGTGCTTCTGGAGTCAATGGATAGCCTGAGGCCATCCACAGAGCTGGAGTACCCTGGCTAAGAACATTGGGTCAGTCCTGAAGAGGGGTGTCTGTTACAGTGGCTGGAGACCAGTGGCAATGCAGGCATGCTAGCAGAGTGGAAGCATACTAATGGGGATACACCCAGTAGAGGCTAGAAGGAAGTAGTGGGTGGTTTGTGCCACCCTAAAGAGGGAACAGTTTAATGATGGTGATTTCAGGGTGACCCTATAAGGAATTAAATTTGGACAACGTCTGAAGCAAGACAGTGTCAGCCCCAGGATGGCGTTATTGTGCCATTCATAAGGATTGTCAAAGCAAGGAGGCCCGCTTGGAGCAAAGGAAATGGAAGTAGCCTTGTAGGGTTCTCAAGGCGTGCATCACTAGGCATTGTGAAGCACCAGTCCCTGACAGCTACATATGCGAATAACAACCATTGTCCAACAGCCACATGCATATTCAACAACCAGTCCCTGATAACCATTTCTGCACACAACAGTTGATGAACTCTTGGGGATGGTGTCTTCTAATTAGTCCTCAGAAAAATGGTAGAGAGCGAGATTGAGGGATAACAAGTTGTTATTAAAGCCTGGTACTAAATAATGTGTCTATAGCAACATGCAACAGCCAAGAGCGATATAACAGATTATGATCCAGTAATGCATATTTGTAAACTGTGTAATTACTTGTAAATAAGACAATTCATTTTACAATAAATCCAGTTGCACTCCAAACCCCATGTACAGTCACTATCATTTGACCATATTTATTTATCGTAGACTGATGTAATTTCTCCACTCATGACATAAATACCAATGTTGGATTTTTTATATCGTATTCCATATATATGTCCTTAATTGATACCCGTGTCTTTATACTTACAGCTTATGAGTCATCTTAAATCCATGCTTATGAAATGCAGAATAATATTAAATGCTTTTTCAACATTGAAGTATATCACAATTCTATAGCCGTTCCATTACATGCAACATATTATAGGGATCTGTTTGGATTGTTTTAAAAATTTAAGTGAGTAGTTTATACCTTTTGTTCATTTCTATCGTTCTTTCTCTGAATTCCTGCATCTGCATAAGGCATAGATTTATGTGTTTTCATTGATGCCAATAATTATTGTCATTGCCATCCCTAATTTGATGTTGTGTATGAAGCTAGACACACACCCTTTTGCATGACGTGAAACACGAGAATAATCTAAGAAATTCGTCTGCTCTCTAGGTCAGCTAGTTATAGTTATCGGCGCCAAGAATGTCGTTTGAGCTCAGAAGATCGTTTCACTCAACCACAAGCATTCGAAATGTCTATGGATTCAGATTACCTAGAAAACCAGTGTATTCCACGTAAGTTATTTCTCTTATACATTGTTATTAAAATATATAACAAATTTTACATCAGAAGAGCCTTCAGCTGTTATCTGGGCATTAATGAATTTGAAATGCACATACTGATTGCCAGTGGCTCATTGCTCTTAGAGTAGTTGAAAACATCAAATTGTGTTGCATTTGTTTCCAGAGGTTACACTAGAAGTTGGGACAGGTCTGTTGTATGTTTACTTCATAACTCATTTTATTACATAAAGAGATTTATTGCATATTAATATCATCTTCACAATTTGAAATTCATGTATGAATATTAGGTACAAACAATCCGGTACATTGCACTAGCATTGGTGAATGGAGTTCATCACGTGAAAGTGTGAATTGAACTTAAATAATGTACAGTTGACACAGAAATCATGATGTCACGTGACACGACCTTGGAGGGAGGGGAAGCACATGTGCATGCCTCTCCTAGATATTTCTTGACTTCACCACCTACCCCCTTCCTCTCACTTTCTAGATTTTTTGCTGACTGTCCAGTCCTCGATGCTAGTGAGATTTTTCCAGAATAGCTTTGCTTGAATAATAGTGGTGTGGTGTTCGTGAGTTCCCTAGTTTGGTTCATTCTCATTGTGAGCTAGAAGGAGCATGCAGCACTGGTGTGTGTTGAGCCACTGCATGCTGTGAAGTGAGGAGTCAAGCCAGTGCAGATGGCAGCAACAAGAGCAAGACAAGACTAATGCAGTGACATAGAGTGGAATAGTAACAACAAGATGAAACTGACATCAGCACTGTAGGTGACTCCTGGAAAAACTTCTCTAAAACGAGATAAGCCTTATAGTGTGTAATATACCGAAACATTATGGTTTTCAGTATATCACAGTTTCTTATTTTTATTCACTACATTGTGATCAAGATACCAACCTCTGTTCCATCCTTATTCTCAATTTTTATGAATGTTGTTGTTCATAACTTGTGCCTCCCACAAATTTTGTCTTTGCCCAAACAATTACTTTCACAGACATTTTTATTTCAGATTTTTAGTTCAGACTTTCCTATTTTTTCTCTGCTCCTAGAAGAGGCTTCATCTTCAAAAGGAAATCACACGTTTTAATGTTAATGCACCTTGAATTTTGGCTGTTTCTCTACTGCCCCAAGAAAGCAATGAGAGGCTACAAATGCATCTGTAAATGTTGCCCATTTTCTTTGTTTCTGTCAGCTTGACAGAGAGACATGGGAGTAAACAGCATGTTATGATAAAAACATTTAATACATACAAGAGTTACATGTTTCAAAATAAAGAAACAGCATGGCATCACATCCCAGAAGACCATAGTTCTGATGCTCACTGCCATTAACCCTCGTCTCACACTGTGTTTCGGGAGCATAGCTGTGAAAGTATCTCACATAAATGGCTGGCCGTAAGAAATAATGTCATTTATTTGTTTACAGCTGTGGGTAGGTGTGCATACCGAAATTTTCAACGAGACCGGCAGCTAATCTACACTGATAAGTCTTTATCGGCTTTCAGCGACTCTAGTTGTCAACATGCTTGTGATGTAGAAAGAGAGTTTATGTGCCGATCTTACACATTCTTGAGCACAGTGAGTAATTTTTATTCACATGCTGATACTGTGGTAGAAACAGAGCTCATTATTATCTTAAAGGAGGGTATCAGTTAAACATTATCCTTGGCAAAATGTATGCATGTCTCTATGAAATGAACGTAGGTATATCTTAAGTGTCTTCCAATAACCTTCAACTTTTTGACAGCATGCATTCATGTGACATTTCCAATGTAATTACTGTGCAAAGAACCAAAAGTAATACATATATAACCAGTGATGAATTTAAGATTCAAGTAGTGTAATTAATCAAATGGCCAGATAATATCTGCATTTTAAATGCTTCTGCCTGCCCTGTTGCTTAGTTTATGCTGTTTGTAGAGATCAAAATTTTGAAGTTTTAAGTAATAAATTGGGATCCATTCAATGCATGTGACCAACTTACTGCTAAACATGAATAGCAACTGTCAAATATTTAATTCTAATAATCAAACTTCTGTGATATCATACAGTTTCTTACTCATCTTTCAGCATTTCTACTTTCATGTGATTTAGCTGACAACCAAGTCTCTCTACCTCCAGCTTCCCAGATCTGAGGTTCTTCCTTCCATTCTTCTGCATGACAGTTTTCTAACCTACTGTTCATATCTTAGTTCATAATTCATAATGCATTTACATCCATAAACTGTTACACAAGTACAATTGGACAAGCCAGTTTAAGTCATTACATGGGCCAATCCAAAAGTTACCGAAATTTGAATTTTGCGCGCGAATGGTTATGAGTACATCGAAATACCGCTAGGTGTCTCCTCACACATCCTTCTTGAATCAGTGTGGCAAGCGGCGTCGAGTTGAGTGGTTGGGTTTATTGTTGGTGAACGTATTTCCATTGTTGTGTTTCCGTGAGTTTGCAGTTTTGCGATGGCTGACCTGAGAGAGCAGCGTGTCTGTGTAAAGTTTTGTTTCAAACTTTGGAAAACCGCTGCAGAAACGCACCAAATGTTGAAGCAAGCTTTTGGTGAAAACAGTTTAGGCCAGACACAAACTTACAACTGGTATAAGCGTTTTAAAAATGGCCGAACATTGACTGATGATGACGATCGTTTGGGTCGGCCGTCAACGGGGAAAACACCAGAAAATGTCACGAAAGTTAGGGATCTGATTCTGCAAGATCGTAGACTGACCATCCAAGACCTCTGTAACACCTTGGGACTAAGTTATGGTACATGTCAATGAATTTTGTCAGAGGAACTGAACATGAGGATTGCGGCGAAGTTTGTGCCACGACTGCTGCAAAATGAACAGAAGCAGCATTGCTTGGAAGTCTGCAGGGATCATCAGCAACAGCTTCAAGAGGATCCAAACTTTCTTTCGAAGGTTGTCACTGGTGACGAAAGTTGGGTTTATGGCTATGACCCTGAAAGCAGGCAGCAGTTGTCGCAATGGAAGAGCCCTTCTTCACCTCAGCCAAAAAAAGCTCGACAAGTCAAGAGCAACATGAAGTCCATGTTGATCTGTTTTTTTGATATTGATGGGATTGTTATAAGGAGTTCGCCCCTCCTGGTCAGACAGTCAATAAAGAGTTCTATTGCGATGTTGTAAGGCGTTTGAGGGAGAACATGAGGAGAAAACGTCCAGAGAAGTGGCGCATGAATGACTGGGTACTCCACCATGACAACGCACGACTGCATACGGCTTACATTGTGCAGGAATTTTTGGTTAAAAACAAGATGGCAGTTGTTCCCCACCCACTGTACTCGCCAGACTTAGCTCCATGCGACTTCATTCTCTTCCCCAAGATGAAAATCAAGTTGAAGGGGCGAAGATTTGATACAGTTCAGGAAATTCAAGTGGAAATGCAGACGGTACTAAACACCCTAACAAAGAAAGACTTCCAGGATGCATTTGAAAAGTGGCAGAAACGCTGGGATCGGTGTATGCGCTCCCAAGCGGACTACTTTGAAGGTGATGGTGCAGAATAAGATCTAGGTAAGAGGTAGTAGTTTTATTAATATATTTCAGGAACTTTTGGATTGCACCACATAAAACACTACAAGTCAACAACTCTTAAAAATGTACAGAATGATACACAAGACTATGAACAATATAATCATCTTAAGATCATTGTCCCCCTGCTGAAGCTAGCAACTGAGGATGACATCCCCCAACAATCCAATATAAAGCAACGCATTCCCTTGTACCATCTACATACATCCACACCATACCAGAACCAACTCCAGTCCATCATTCTTTATTTGTTTCATCCTGGTCCATCACAGTAACAACATTATAAAAGGTTAATTTTTATTAAAAAAACACTCCTACAGAGAATGAAAACAGTTTTGTAAAAAATAACGTTTTAATTTATTTTAAAAAACTTTAACATTTTCTATTCTTCTTAATTCGGGGGCAAGCTGTTATGTATTTTAATTCTTATGTTACGTATGTAAGTCAATAAGTAAGTTACAAATGGATATAGAATTTAAACAAATAAGAGTACTGATTTGAAAAATGTTTATATTTCTCAACATAATCTCCCTGTACATTTAGGCACATGTCCCATCGTTTCACAAATCCCTGAAAACCAGCAGCATAAAATTCTTTGGGCTGCTGTCAGAACCAGGCGTGTTCACACGACATGGCCTACCCCATAATGCATGACAGGTTGTATGCTTCCGTTGAATGGCCTTACGAAGTTTCCTGAGGATGTTACAGTAGGAGTTGGCATTTACGGTTTGTCCTTGAGGCTGGACTGTGGTGAGCAGTATGCTTTCGCAATCCCAGAAGACTGTGAGCATCACTTTCCTGGAGGATGGTGTCAGCTTAAACTTTTTTTTTTGGCAGGCAAAGCAGGATGTTTCCACTGCATTGATGCACGCTTTGTCTCGGGCCGGTAATGGTGAACCCAAGACTCATTACCTATGACAGTTCAGGCTAGCATATCATTATTCCATCATGGTAGCGATTGAGATGCTGTAATGCCAGACCCATTCTTTGCATTTTGTGTCGTGGGGTCAGCATGTGTGGCGCCCATTGTGCACAGACTTTGTGGAAACCTAACCTGTCATGCATTATGAGGTAGGCCATGCCATGTTAACATGCCTGGTTCTGACAGCAGCCCATAAAATTTTATGCTGCTGGTTTTCAGGGGCTTATGAAACAATGGGACAAGTGGCTCAGTGTACAAGGAGATTATGTTGAGAAATGAAAGCATTTTTGAAATCAGTACTCATATTTGTTTAAGTTCTATATCCACTTGTAACTTACTTATTGACTTACCCTCATAGTGAACAGTGTTGCATATTTGTACATACAAATCCTGTCTTCCATTAGTGTTATACTTGTGAATGTCAGAATAATGAGATGTGTAGATCTTGTGGTGTTCCCTTGTGTGTTTTCTTTTAGTGTCATGTTCAGCACTTTTTTGAGATTATATATTTGTTTATCCTTAAAAATGACCCTGTATTATCTTGTCCATTATTTACTAATTTATCTTCCATGGTAATTGGCTATATATTCATCATAGTTGTTAAAATCCAAAATTTCCTCTTCTCAGCCTAAATTTACAATTACTGTTGTGGCCAAAGCATTTTCTAATTTTTGCTGCCATTATAGCAATTCTAATTTGGAAGTTATGATTATGATTTTCTGACTAACATGGACTTATATATAAATTTATAAATAAGGAATTGCTGATATTTTTAGTCCAGTAATCCTTAAAAGGTTGTGGTGAGACTGATTAAATAGGCCATTTTATAAGACCTAATAGTTTGTAGTGGTGGTACATTAATACAAATATTAAGGTTATGGACATTACCCATCACCCTCTTTTTTATTTAAAATCCTACTTTTCGGCACTGGATTCTGTCTCCGTCTTCAGATAGAACCCACTCAACTGGACCAAAAATATAGAGCTAGTCCTTATCTCCAGATGGTGTTTTAAATAAAAAAAGGATGATGGATAATGCCCAAAAACATAAGCTTTTTATTCGGCTATTTTATGTTTATTCTGTTCACATTTCCTATTTTTCTCAGTCACATTACATCAATGGTGCTGTCTATTTCAAGGTACTAGCCAAATATTTGCATGAAGGGTTAGGACCTCATTTAGGATAGACAACTTTAAAGGCAAGATTTATGCTTGTAACCTATTGAATAAGTAAGATATTTTACCAATAAACTAATCTTATCAGTGCCGGCAATATCTTCCCATTTCAGTCAGATCTCATGAAGCCAAAGGATATATAATAATAACAGTTTTTGGATTTCATCCCTTCAGCTATACATTTCTGAAGCACTGTCATTTCCTCCAGATCCTGTTCTTTCTGTCAGTATATCACATTTTACTGCTTTTCTTGTTAGTCTCTCAGTTTTGCCTAAAATTGATGTAATATCTTTCATATATTATTTGAACAAGTACAAAAATTTAAAGCATTCAAAGAACATATTGTGACATGTTGCGCAATGGAGGACAACTCCTTCCCCCCAGCAGTGACATGGCGGGTGAGTCAGTGCTCCGTCACCCCCCTCCGCGCGGTGACGTAGCCCCCCTGCACTGTGATGTGGCACAGCTTCCCGCTGTGACACGGCACCGCAACGCAACGCCGCTGTTGACACGGGCAACAGGCAAGAGCGAATGGAATAAAAGCCGGCTGAGCAGCAAGCGAGAGTGAGTGTGTGCTCAACAGTTCTCAAGGCAGCAGTTATGAGTTACGGACGCGTGTGTGAGAATCAGTGATAGTTCGTGATAACCGAGTAATAATTGGGAGTGTGTGATACAGTGACACTTACGAGTATATAGCTTCCATACTGTGAAACATGTAGACTCCTGACAATAGAGTGAATTGAATATTGCGAATAGGTTTATAAAGTGTGAAACCCCGCAACTGTGTTGTAAATAATTGTATCCGAGATTTGTAGGTTGTTAAATAAATCAATTAACAATCCAAACGGCGTCTTCAGTAACGAAACACATTACAATATAATACAAGTGTATTCAGGATTGTGACCTTGTGTTAATGGCTAAGGAAGAAACTGTGCTACTGGGTATGATTGATAGACTAATCAAAATTGGAAGGTGCTATGGCATGGAAATGAATGTGGAAAAAACAAAAGTAATGAAAATTTCGAGACAACCAACCCCAGTCACAATAAAGATAGACCAAAAACAACTGGAGAATGTGAAATGTTTTAAATATTTGGGTAGCTTGTTAACAGATGATGGAAGGTGTACGTGTGAAATTAAATCTAGGATTGCCATGGCAAAAGCTGCATTTAGCAAGAAGAAGAATCTTTTTACCAGCAAATTGGACTTAAATTTGAGAAAGAAACTAGTGAAATGCTACATTTGGAGCATGACTTTGTATGGGGCTGAAACTTGGACACTTAGGGCAGTAGATCAGAAACACCTGGAAAGCTTCGAAATGTGGTGTTGGAGAAGAATGGAGAAGATCAGTTGGACCGATTATGAGAGAAATGAAGAAGTGTTATTTAGAGTCAGTGAGCAGAGGAATATCCTGCACGATATAAGAAAACGGAAGGCTAATTGGATTGGTCATATCTTATGCGGTAACTGCCTTCTAAAAGAAGTTATTGAAGGAAAGGTAGAGGGGCGGGTAGAAATGACCAGAAGACGAGGAAGAAGACGTAAGAAGATGCCGGATGAGCTTGGGGACAGAAGAGGATATTTTCATTTGAAGGAGAAAGCTCTAGATCACATCAAGTGGAGGAACTGTTTTGGAAGAGACTGTGGACCTGTCGTCTTGACAGATTACTGATGAATGAATGAATGAATGAATGAATGAATGAATGAATGAATTCAGGATTGGTGTGAAGAAAACTTGGAAATCAGTTGACCTGGGTTGACACAGTGGATACACTGGGCAGATGCAAGTCTACTTGGAGTTGGCCTTGAAAGGGTTAATATCAAGCAGTTCTATCAGGGCTCACTGAATAACATGCTTACTTTAAATTTTCAACTTAGCTATGTTTAAAAGCAAATGACATTAATGTCTGTCACGAGTGGCCATCATGTTCTTCCTCAAGTGTTTGCACATTTATTTTTATCAGTGTTTCAGCATTAAAGTTAACCATTTCTGCTTTAAGAGATGGCATTAGCTCACTTTAAAATTTAAGAGTATTTTGTTCCTTCCTTAGTTTCAAAAAATGGCAATTAGCTGAACTATTAAATATATCGTCCTGTGGCACATAAACCCGTTTCTAAGCAGTGACTGTGTAAACAGTGCCTGTTGCTGGGTAACGCCTGAAACATACACACACACAATAGAACAGTAGATTTATGCAACCCATTTCTAGGCTACAGCTTGGTCAAAACGTTCTTGCAGAAACGAACATGCATGCAGCAATAGAAAAGTGGCGTTTTCAGTGCGGTCTACATTGAAATGTTATCTTGAAGAAAATTAAGTTGACCACTTCAGTTGAGTGAAGTGAATTAGTTGGATGGGGAGTTAGAGAGTTCAGTTGGGAAATATCCGCTTAACAAAGTGATGTGAACGCAGGAAGCTGAAGAGTCTCCACTGTTAGAATTCATTGCTAGGGAACAGCTGTTGAAGATACAGCAAGCTGGAAAAAGGCCTACTGGGTACTGTAGTAGTCAGTGAATTGTGGATATTAGTAGTGGTGCTGTTATTACTTGTAGTTATGAATGGTGTATATAAGTAGTCAATAAATCCATTCACCAATCCATGCCCTATCTATAGGCACACCCCTAAATTGTGTCAATACTATATTACCAATTGTGAAATATTGAGAAAGCAGTCTTCTGGGATGTGGCACTGTGTAGATGTGGTGTTAACCGACGTTTCGGAGGAACGTATCGCCTCCATCTTCAGGGTAGAGGGAAAAATAAGACCAGTCTGCTTGTACCGGTTCTCACAGTCTCTTCGTTTGCGGATTTCTTATTTTTTCCTCTACCCTGAAGATGGAGGCGATACGCTCCTCCGAAACGTCAGTTAACACTATATCTACACGGTGCCACATCCCACAAGACTGCTTTCACCACCGTGAAAACCTCAAATCTTACATGTGAAATATTAGTATTACTGCCTGTTTAGTTCTGAATGAAATAATAATTTTTAAAGCACAGAATGTAAGTCAACTAATTAGGTTAAGAAATATAATTATGATGTCTGTGTAGGTCGGAAGTAACACAAATCAGTGCTTGCTGAGTGCATCAGTGGCTGCTGGCACAGAACAGGCCTTTAAACTTCAGAATGGGGCTCTGTATGCAGAGAAGCAATGTGGGAGTCTTCAGCCACCTGAACCAGTTCCCCCCCCTGGTAGGCCCGGTTCTGATCCAGGTTCCCGTTATCCTTCTGGCACAGATCAAGATGGTGTCCTGTCCCCATACCCCTGTCGTTACACACTGACATATGAGAAGATAGCAGGTGCTGCTTATGGAAATGCACAGAGGTAAGCTTTATTTATCACATACGAGGGGGGACCCAAAAATAACCGGAAACGACCTGTTGCGTGTGCATGCTTTGTAGTTACGAGTTGTGCTGCTAGGTGGTGTTAGCTGGGGGTCTCCTGCGACTGTTAGTGAGATGGTGTCAGTCTGAGTTAAGTGGTTTGTCTGTGGTGCTCTGTTGTGTGCATTCCTGTTTCAACCCTTTGGCGATTAGTGAGATGGCCGACCAGAAGGAACAATTTTAAGAAATTCTGGATTGTTCTGCACTTCACTCTTCAAGTCGCGGCAAACATTCACGCGGTTTTCTCTTTGGTCATCTCTGAGCAAGCGAGGAACAAATTTTGCAGACACCCGTCTCATGTGCAAACCTTCGGTTAAAATTCACTGGACCGTGCTCCATGAGATGTTCGTTTCCTCAGAAAGTTGGTCAATGGTCATTCGACGATCTTCATCAATTGCACGTTTGATTTTGGCAATGTTTTCGTCATTTCTTCCTGTAGAAGGACGCCCGGGGCGTGGCATGTCTTCTGTTGACATGTTGCCAGATTTGAAACGGGAAAACCACTCATAGACCTGTGATTTCCCCAAAGCATCATCATTAAAGGCTTGCCGAAGCATCCCAACAGTCTCGGCTGCAGTTTTCCCTAACAGAAAGCAAAATTTCATGCACACTCTTTGTTCCTTCTGGTCGGCCATCTCACTAATCGCCAAAGGGTTGAAACAGGAACGCACACAACAGAGCACCACAGACAAACCACTTAACTCAGACTAACGCCAGCTCACTAACAGTCGCGGGAGACCCCCAGCTAACACCACCTAGCAGCACAACTCGTAACTACAAAGCATGCGCGCGCAGCAGGTCGTTTCCGGTTATTTTTGGGTTCCCCTTCGTATATCCTTAGATATCCAATTTTAGGGTAAAGATCTATTTTCCCCTGTGATGTGGAAAATTAAAATTAGTGGCAGAGACTGTTTACATTTTAAACAATGTATAGGGAACAAATTACAGAATTTACAGTAATAAATTGACTTGTTGATTCATTAGAGGAAGGCATGGGTGTTGCCAAGAATTTTTCTTTGGTATGAGTGGTTTGCAGCTCACTGATGAATACTCCTGTTATGTAGCTTCCGCACTGAGAACACAGAAAACAGTTACGTGATAGCTTTCACTGTTGTGTGACATCATGTTTACCGATTGCCTAGCAATGGGCTCCCCTGTTGCGTGAAACCATGTTTACAAAGGCGTTGCTGGGCAACACTTCGTAGCAACCAGTGCGCTTCGGCTCAGCACGGACAAACACTGCTTTCCTTACTATTGTGTAACCTCGTTTCCACTGTTGCGTAACTTGGCACTGACCGTTTATCAAGGGTCTGTCTTTGTGGTAACTCGTTTCACCTCCCGTTGCCCAGCAACGGTTAGACATGTCACACTATTTTAAAATTTACAGTTGTATTAGGTTGCAGTAGTTGATTCAGGCCTATTGACTGAATGAGTTTCACTTTGTGCTTTCCCTAGTTGCAAAGCAAGCATTTAAATATTGATTAATGTGATATTGCAGGGAACCAATTAGGACCAGAGCAGATATTGGAATCAGTGGAGAATGCCTGATAAAATGTGGACAACTGAGGCATCGCTGTCTTGCTGTTTCTCTTGAAAATGTGCGAGGGGGTCGCCAGAGGTGTTACAGTATTGAGCGATCAGCGGACTCAGATGGTGGCTTACTTACCTCAGCCCCAGAGCTTGCATATTTTCAGAAGATATGCCTGCAAGGTAAATTAGCATATGGATTCTCAAAATAGGCTTATTGTTGCTGTTAAATAATCAATGCGTCAGACTTCCAACCATGAAAATATAAAAGAAGTTTATGATAATCACAAACCTCATTTATTATTATTTCCTAATACTATATTTCTGCTCCTTAATATTATGCTGTGTGCCACTTCAAAGTCACTGCTTACTCCTTACCCACAAATCTCGCCTGCACAGCAAAATAATGGGCACATACATGACTTCTGAATAGCTATCCAATTCTTTTGTTTTCCTTCATAAGTATTATCTGCCAAGTTGTCTCAGTGATTTTGGTTCTCAGTTCTACAAGAGACTACATTACAAGTCCTATTTCCTTTAGGTAAAACATGTTGTAACGTGTTTCGTTACTGGAGATGCTGTTCGGTTTGTTAATTGGTTTATTTAACAACCTACAAATCACGGCTACAATTAATTATAACAATATTGCGGGGTTTCACAATTTATAACCCTATTCATAAATCAAATCACGCTATTGTCAGTAGACTACACGTTTCACAGTACGGGAGCTATATAAGTGTCCCTGTATCACACACTCCCAATTAATTCTCAGTTATCACAAACTGTCACTGATTATCACACACTTTCACTTGTAACTCGCCACTGGCTAGATTCCAACTCTGCTCGCAGGCTGCTGCCTTGAGGACTGTTGATAACACACTGGCTCTCGCTTGCTGCTCAGCCGGCTTATATTCCGTTCGCTGTTACCTGTTGCCCGCGTCAACAGTGTCGTTGCGTGCCACATAACAGTGTCTGCGTATAGCCTGCAACGCCGTTACCTCACGCCGTCTTGCATCACCGCTGTTGACTCGCGTTGCATAGCTACCAGGATGCTGGGACTCGGCTAACTTCGGCTCTGCTCGGCGCGTCAGCTCCGGGGGGGGGGGGTCCATCCATAGCTCAACACGTCACACTGCTCCCTCCTTAAGGCTGTTCATCCCGAATAGCCTAACAGTGCACCCCTGTTCCTTTTCCATCCCGTAGTTGTGCTTGCAGTGTCTCCTGTTGTTTCGGCTACTCTTCTTGCAGCGACTATTCTTCGTCTGTTACATCCACTCCCCTCTTAAGACAAAGCGATTTCCTTTCAGCTTGCCAGAAGATCACATTCATCCATCGCTTTCTCCCATGGCACATTCACTCTCACTGGGGAGGCCAGTTTTTCTATTTTACCGGCTCCTCTTCTGTGCCCTGCTTCTTTTTTCGTTTTGGAGGGGGTCAACCCCTCCATAAGTTCCAATTCTTGTGTTTTCATAGGCTGACAGAAGATGCGGCTATTCACCTCGCGATCTCCACGTTGACAATCTCGTAGAAGGTTTTCTCACAAATTCTCCCTCCTAGGTGCGATCGATGTCCTGACCTACACCCTGCGATGGCGTCCTTGGTTGTCACCTTTTCCGTCTGGCATCTGAAGGTTCCCTGGGGAGTTTCCTTCTTGAAGACATTTCTCCAACGTAGTGCCACTGTCGCACGATGGGATGTCTTCCTGCAGGTGGCAGCCAACTTCATCCGAGAATCATAATTTCCTTGGGTCCAAGATTTCCTGAAGATGTTCCTCCTACGCCATGCCACTGTTGCACGGCGGGACACCTTCCTGCAGTTTTCCTTCTGCCGTTCCTCTTTCACATGGAGGCTTGTCCCTCTGCGGGCTACGGCCAACTTCTTCCGGGGTCCACAACTTTCCCGTGTCGGATTCTTAATATTCCGCTTCTTTTGGTCCCTACGCCTTTTCTTCCTTGGTTCTCCGACCGGCATTACTTTGGCGTCTTTTACGGGTACCTCTCGTAGATCTGCCGCCTCAGGTTTCCTGTTCGCTGAGGCCGGATCTTCTTCTTCTTGACGTGCCTCCATTACTAGGCAGGCCATCGTCGCTCCGACCAGCATTACTATGGGGACCTCTTCTTGTTGTGCCACAGGTTTCGTGTCCACTGGGCAGGCCACCGTCTCCTTTTGGGTAATCGGCATCAATTCATCTTCAGGTTCACTGAACGGTATCACTGCAACGTCGTCTACAGGGACCTCTTCTTGTTGTTCCGCCTCAGGTTTCATGTCCACTGGGGCCGGCTTTTCTTCTTCTAGATGTGCCTCCATCCCTTGGCAGGCTATCATCTTTACGTCTCTTTCGGGTTTAAATGCGCACACCATCTCCATGTGGCTGGTGCCCATTATTTCTCGCATGGCTTCCGTCCTTGCTTCGATTGCTCTCATTCTTGCTTGGGTAGCTTTCGTCTCTGCATCCAACTTTTCTCCCCAGGTGGCCATCTCTTCTCGCCAGGCTTTCGAGTCGGCATCTGCTTTATCTCGGTTTGCCCTCATCTCTTCTTGATGGGTTTCCATGCTGGCGTCCATCCTTACCAGCATTTCCATCATCTGCTGCATCTCCATTTTGTAGCAGTAAAATACTTGATGCACAATAATTCAATTATTCGTTGAGACGTGTGTAAGTCCAAATCCCACTTCTGACACCAAATGTAATGTGTTTCGTTACTGGAGACGCCGTTCGGATTGTTAATTGGTTTATTTAACAACCTACAAATCACGGCTTCAATTAATTATAACAATATTGCGGGGTTTCACAATTTATAACCCTATTCACAAATCAAATCACACTATTGTCAGTAGACTACACGTTTCACAGTACGGGAGATATGTGTCCCTGTATCACACACTCCTAATTAATTCTCAGTTATCACAAACTGTCACTGATTATCACACACTTTCACTCGTAACTTGCCGCTGGCTAGATTCCAACTCTGCTCGCAGGCTGCTACCTTGAGGACTGTTGATAACACACTGGCTCTCGCATGCTGCTCAGCCGGCTTATATTCCGTTCGCTGTTACCTGTTGCCCGTGTCAACAGCGTCATTGCATGCCACGTAACAGTGTCTGCGTATAGCCTAGCAATGCTGTTACCTCACGCCGTCTTACGTCACCGCTGTTGACTCGCGTTTCATAGCTACCAGGACGCTGGGACTCGGCTAACTTCGGTTCCGCTCGGCGCGTCAGCTCCGGGGGGGGTGTCTATCCATAGCTCAACACATCACAATATTTCTGATAGTTAAATTCATACAGAGCAGGTTGGTATAGTGGCAACCCTATGCAACTCTATTCATGAGTAAAATAAGAATCATCAAAGCTTTGACAAGTGTCCAAGTTCAGTCACTTGCCTTACTTCTAAATTTTAAGCAAGCTCAGAACAGTGCAAACCCATTAAAACTGTCTTTTTGAGATTCCGTCATATCAAATTGTACTCAGTCTCTCTCATTCACCTCAGTACAAGTAACAAAGCACATTTTCAGACCATTTTAGATTTGTTAATGCAAGATGCAGGCACTATCTCCATAAACAAACTGCTAACCTCTCATGCTTTCAGGGGAGCACATATTATGCTAGGATCTGCCATTTGACCACAAAAGTCTAATGAATGTGTGGGAACATCCCACATACTATCACGCTGTTTCACCGATCAATGGACAACACTCACTCCTAAGACAATAGCACACTGCTGAAGATTGCTGTCAGCTCTCATATTTATACAACACCCGCTGTCCAGCTCACTTTTCACCATCACGCACGCTAACCAATCACATTGCTTCCAGTGCTCGCATTTATACAGCACTCGCGGTCTAGTCCACATTCAGATCATCACATGCTAGCCAATCAGTGCTCACAATCGCAACTGCAAGTTTTGCTCCTCCATCAAGCATGGTATAAAAGGCGGAGCCCAAAGCTCACAGTCATCAGTGACCACATCAGCTACTCAGCCATCACACCTAGTCCAGAGTGATCGGTCTTCAGAGTCGTTGGCTTTTCACTGCATCAGGGATGGCTGCCTCGGCTCTCCGGCGGTCATGCCCAACACATCAGGCAACTGGTGCAGCTGCCACAACTCCAGCGACCGCACTCCGCAGCAAGACGTCATCCAGCAACCACGCTCTGCGACCAGGCAACTTCCGGCGACTGCCGCACTGCGACCAGGCAACATCCGGCAACTGCCACACTGCAACCAGGCAACATCCAACAACTGCCGCACTGCAACCGGACAACTAACTCAGCTGCCGCAACATTAACCAACACACTGTACCAATATCTATTTCTACTGGTGCATGCAGCCCTACTTCACCGGCCAGACAGACCAGCCAAACAGCCGTAAAACTCTATCTACCACAGTGGAACAAACAGCCCTTTTCAGGGCCCACAAACTTTCCGAAGTGGTTGTCTATTGGAGTATCGACAAATCCCATGAATGAAAAAGCACAATTTCAAATAGTACCAAAGTGATACTTAAATCCACACTCATTCCACTTTGTTGATGAATGCTTATTCTCTGAAAAATGACTCATCCATTTAAAGGTTATGTAAATAGCTTAAGTTGACAATATTGACGTATATATGTAGATATATTTTTGAATAGCTTAATGTGTAACCATTGTGTTTTGTTCAGTTTTCTTGTGTGAAAACTTCAGTTGTACTGTGCATATGTTTTTATGGTATATTTAAATCACACAGTCATTTTGACTGACATTGAATCCAGAGAATTCAGTGTAATGTAATGTAATGTAATGTAGAAGAGGAAATGTGAGAAAGAACTTGTGATTTGAACATAAGTTTAAGTGTCGTAATTGTGTCTTTTCAGAGTTTCTTTTTATTCTTTTGTCCAAATTCCCCCCCCCCTCCATGCATTTGTTCCTTCATATTGTTTGATTAATACATGCTTCAAATAATTATCACATTTTAATTGCAGTACTGATTTTTACAGAATTAATTCATATAATTTATTATCACAGTGGCGTACTTCCATGCCAAAGATGTCCACTTTTCTGTGACTTGTGCTCTNGTCTGCTTTTACCGGTTCTCACGGTCTCTTTGCTTGCAGATTTCTTATATATTTTTTCTTCTACCCTGAAGATGGAGGCGATACGTTCCTCCGAAACGTCGGTTAACACCACATATACACGGTGCCAAATCCCAGAAGACTGCTTTCTTCAGGCCATATGGACATTGAAAGCTTATAGGAAAATTCACTTGTATGAACAACACAATAGCAACTGAGGCAGATGTAATTTATTATGGAAATATTTTTTTATAATTTATAGCCAATTATTTTGGAGATATTTCTATATTTATGTAGTTGCTTTCTTCATATTTTACTAAGCATTTTACTGAAAGATGAGGTAACCAGTATAAGACAAACTCAAGCATTATTATATATCCCTTGGTTTCTTTTACAGGAAGGATTTGCCCTAAAGCATGGGCATTCACAAGGGTTCCCAGCTATGAACTTAATGCACCAAATGCAATAGAAATTAAGAATATGTTTGGACGACGTCAGTGTCAAGATCAATGCCTCCAGGAATCACGGATTGTATGCAGGTGGCGTATTGTAGCTCTTATTTAATGTGTATGTGTTTCAACAACTCTCTTCATTCATACTCTTATCAGAACTATGGGTTTACTGAAATTTATCTTAAGTAATGCAATAAACAGAAATAAATTATAACATGTGAGGTATGTTATTTAAATTACTTTAAATTGACTCATCAGGATACATAGATTAAATCTTTTCAGAACGCTGTTTCCTATGCAGTTTGACAACATCTTGAATAGAACATTAGAGAGTAATAAGTTAATATATGTAACATACACTGATTAAATGGTATTAGTTGGTTCCTCATGATATAGTACACTGAGTGACGTGAAAAACATCAATTTGTATTGTCACATGTTAGTGACTCAACACAGGGTTTGGATTGATCATTGGAATTATTGAACACTTGTAACTACAAGTAACTCTAACAGTTTCATGGATCTACAGACACTTCAAATCCCTGTACTGCCACACAAATAAAGTCTTCTGTGTTCTGACCAGGCATTGCTAGGTAGCGGCTCCAAACAGTGGAGGTTCTTCTGCTATGTTCTTGCTGGGTGGTGACTAGCTCACAGCTAACTCATGGCTGCAACTCATGACCTAACCATGCCTGATCAACTAACTTGCCTCATTCACCCAAACCACACTATATAGCCTTGGCATGGACCACATAGGTAACACCACCTCCAACAGCTCTTTTATTGTTGCATATTCATTCTTTGCCATGGACAGGTGTGTTGTTTGTGGTCAAAACGCGTTTAGGTTGCTGCTAACTACTAGTAGCTGTCTCTTCCAGGTTTCATATCAAATTTCTACCTCCTTAATGCTGCTCCTTAGCTTATCACCATTTCATCTTCTCTGAGCATATGTGCGTGTGATGTCTGTGATCAGTCTTGGAAATGGCATTTCAACATCATGCTGGGGTCGGCACTACTTCAGACTTGACATGGGCAGAACTTTTCAAAGTGACTGGTGCTCCTACAGAGCCAGCACATAAGCTGTTGGTAGTCTCTTCTTTCAGTTGGCAGGTGGCCAGCTCCTCCACAATACCCTATCATTCATTTTCCTGAGCCTGATGGAAAATCCTACTCTCTCCTTTTATGACTCCCAGCTCTAGGGTGTGCCTGAGGGTCTCATTGAGTGTCTTCTTGTCAACCAGAAGTAGCACTGTTTTATGCCTTGGTATCTTATGCATTGCCTGGCTCCCTATGAATGTGGTCCTCGCACATTGCAGGAAAGGCATGGTGCCTCAACTCTACAGTGGCAGTGGCAAACTTTTTCAGGGACTCACCAAGGATTTGGGCCCATGCTATCAGTTGATTGTGGTATGCTCTGACTGAGTGTTTATTCACAGATCAGTCCTCAAGCGCTCCAGTAATCTCCTTGTATGTCACTGGCTTAGGGACTCCATGTAGAACACTGGAAGCAAAGCCCTGCAGGGCTCATGGCTTCTGTCATGGTGCCCATTTATAGTGGTTCCACTATGGCCTCTATGTTTTCTTGATTAGTCTCCCATTTTGACACTTATTTTGGTCGGCTGGGATTATGGCCTTCATTTCTTCCAGGCCATTCCTAATTTTCACTCAGCCTTTCCATTATGACTACCAGACTTTTGAATGTGACCATGATTATCCATCTTGTGAATTCCAGTCCAGTCAGCCCAACCAGTCAAATTAATCCCACTTCTGACACCAGTTGTCGTGTGTTAGCGACTAGACATGGGGTTTGGATTGTAATTGTATTTATGAACAATTATAACTCATAACTACAGGCAACTATAACAGTTTCATGGTTTTACACACTGTAAAGATCATCATACTACAGGAAACATGACGTCTTCTATGTCTTCACAAGCTGGTGCTATGTAACTGCTCCCAACAGTGGAGAATCTTCTTCCATACTCTTGTCCTTGGTGGATGGCAACTGGCTGACAACTAACTCATGGCTACAACTCAAGACCTCCTAGCCTTGACTGAGTAACTTGGCCTGGTAAATTGGTGCTGGCACTCACCAGCACAGTCATTCTTGGTTCCAAGTCCCATGGGATTCATGAAAATATACTGTTTCATGGTTCTGGGATTTGTGTGTCAGTTCCCACCAACTAACTTCCAGTGCTGCAGACCCTCACCAGCACAGTCATTCTTGGTTCCAAGTCCCATGGGATTCATGAAAATATACTGTTTCATGGTTCTGGGATTTGTGTGTCAGTTCCCACCAACTAACTTCCAGTGCTGCAGACCCTCACCAGCACAGTCATTCTTGGTTTTGGGTCCCATGACCATATTTTTGTTCCTTCTAGACTTTTACACGTTTTGAAATGGCCTCTGCTTCATCAAGAGGAGGAGTCTGACTCTTGGTGAAGAAGGCAAGTTAGTTCGACTAGTCAGAATCAGAGTTATTCATACTTTGCTGCTGGTGGTTTACCACCAATCAGTTCGTCTTGGCACCAAGCCACATGAGGCTCATGACCAGATTGTTCTTTCCGCTGCTGATGCTGCACCCTTGCAGTCTAGTCCTTGTGTAAAATTCTCTCTGACAAGTGGGTGTGTTCTCTCTTATGATTATGCTTGGCCTTCTCAAGTACATATTGTGAATATAGCACATTACTGAAAGTTCTTCCTTATGCACTATATACAAGTCCTCTGTCAGTCCAAGCTTTGCATAGCAGATCATGTCTATCTTGCATATCTTACGTGACAACAGCAGCTTAACCACTTAAACAGTCATAAGCTTGACCACTGCCAAGATTAAGCATCTTATATATTCTTTGTCTGGCTTTACCTTTTCCTACTTTGACTAGTTATCTCATTTGCCCTAGCTATACAGCCAAGGCATGAACTGCAGAGATAACACTGCCTCCAACAGTTATACTATTGTTTCATATTCATTAGTTGCTGCAGACATGTTTATTAGTTGCTGTGGAAACGTGTTTAGATTGCTGGTGCCTAGCAATGGCTGTCTCTTTCAGCTTTCATGAAAGAAGTCGTAAGTCTTCCTTAGTTATTACATCATATACAAGTACTTAGATCTTCTACTAATGCAAATATTTTATAAATCTCAAAGAGAGAACAATGCACTCACTGCAATGGCCGTAAGAACTAAACGAATACATTGAACAATAAATACAAACACACACACATATGTACATGTATATACAGGATTATTGAGCTTGTAATATAGATGAATCCTTCAAGGATTTAATGAGCATGGGATCTTTTGTGCAGGATGAAAGAAAAGTCCACCTGATAACATGAAGAAAGTGAATCTTTTTATTGGGAAATTATGTACTGTCTTATATGAATATTTATTCAAAGTGCTTATTATTTCCTTGCTTTCTTATATCAATGTATGAGATACATATGGACAGAGAAATACCGTATTTACGCACGTATAGGCCGCAGCACAATTTTCAGACAAATTATAGAAAAAATAATTTTCTTGGAATATTATTTCAGGAGTATTACACCCTGTATTACTAATTATGAATATATATTTTTTTTAAATGAAGTGTGATTTCGAATATTTCGAATATAAGCTGCACCCCAGTTTTCCTCTTGAATTTTTGGCAAAAAATGTGCGGCCTATACATGCGTAAATACAGTAAATCACTTTAGACTGTGCTTTGTCAGGTTAGATTACTGGTTCTGATTGTATAGTATGGTTTATATTAATTTCTTGGTTGTGTAATATTACTAAGATATGGAAGTGGATAGAATGATATTCGTATTTTACATGGCTGCTACATTATACTCGCATCAATGTCTTTTGTGTGCAGTCATATCTGAATATTATATGTATACATTTTTCTAGCCAGATGCATTATTCACTGCCACAAGCAACAAATATTTTGTATCAACCAGGAGAAACAAGAATCTACATTTCATATAAGATTTGAATTTCACTTGGTTGACATTTTTGTGCTATGTTACTTTTAACATTCTGACATCTTGTTATACAAGGCAAGAAAACTGATTGATTTATATGAAATAGATGATTATTCTCCAATTACTGCCAGACCACACATACAGTAGCAGTTTTATCACACTGAGGCATGGGTAATCAGTCCTTGCAAATTGTTAAGATGCTTGACAGTAAAATCATGTGTTTCATTGAGATGTTCACAGCCTCAAGATCACTTCAGTTTCACTCATACACAGTAAAGTAACAGCTGCACATGAGCTTAAATATTCAGATTATGCAACAGTAGTTCACGTGTGTGACTGGTTGCTGCAAATGTGTGTGACAGTGTGACATAATCATGGATCCATAACTGCTATTTGCAACTGATGAGGCAAAGTTTTGCCTTAGTTGTCATGTCAGTATGCAAAACATATGAGCATGAAGTGAAGATAATTCCGATGCCATTCAACAGATCCTGTTACACAGTGTAGATGTAGGGATATGGTGAGTTTTTAGTGTGTAGGGAATGTCTTTCAGGAAACCATGAGTTCAGAAAGGTATGCAAGCAACATATTGAATCTGTTCTTCAAATAACTAATGGCTAAGGAAAGACAATATGGGTACTTCCAGCAAAACTGCTACAGAACATACTGCTACTAAGTCTGTGGTGCTATCTATAAGATGTTGAAAAAAAATCATCTCTGGGGCAGTTTGAACAGAGCATACACAAAAATAACACTTTCACCGCTGTAGCTTTCAAGAATGAAATCATAAATATCAGTATCCAAGGATGAAGTTCAGAAAGTGTTCCAGAGCTTGTTAACACTTTGCAGACCGGCAATTTAAATATTTAAATCATCCTGCAGACCGGCATTTTTATACCTACTACCCTAACTTGTGCACTGTTCACTTTAAAAATTAATATAAAATCTCCTTATTAATTTTATGAATTAAATTTTTTTAGAACAGTTACCAATGCTTCTAGAAGTGTTTGAGGGTGTGATATTTCTCGAAACATTCCCCTCTGTGAAGTGGCATTACACAAAACTTGCAAATGTAGGCAGTCCTACTCCTTTTCTTGTGAATTGCACAAACACGGCATTGCCTAGAAGGCTGCTTCCCCTTGAAATGTTCACTCTTCACAATTTTCGCAAGGGTATGTTTCTGCATATCACCCAAGAGTCACCTAGGGGGGTCAAAATGAGGCCTGCATGGGGTGGGAGTAGACAGCCCCGGTCGTACTAAGCCTTTGTGTGACCCTGGTTCTGCCGCCACCATGTGGTCTGTAGCCCAGGCTTTTGCCACATTCAGCAGAAATGCCTTGTATTTCAATTTAGAATGAGGGTTTAGATTTTTGAAAACCAAAAATGAATTGAAAATGGCACAATTTATAAGCCACAAGGCAACCTTCTTTGTCCACTTTACTGTTTTCCGAGGATGAGAATAATAGGCCAAGTACTGATCGGCTCTATCAACTCCCTTCATGAACATATTATACTCGGAAATACAAACAGGCTTCTTTACCTGTCCATGTCTCCTTTGAACATCAACCATGCTCGAACTGTGAATTGTGGAAATCATATTCACAACACGAGTATCCTTATCTCCAAAAAACAGTTCTGCCACTTCAAGACACTTGTGTTAGGTCCGATGGAATTTGCTTCACCCCTGGATTTCCAGTAAACTGCCCCAAAGCAGGCATTTTGTCTACTTTTACCCATGTGGCTGTCCCCACAATGTTTCTACCCACACATTTGTCGGAGCTACGGTAACTTTCACTTTCACTGTCTATGGTCACAATTTTTTGTTCGCTCCTGCCACACTCACTATCAGACTGTGAGTCACTATCACTAGCAGATTCACAAGGGACGTCAGATAGCTCATCGAAGAAGAAGTAAGATATTTCTTGTTCTCCAAGAAATCGCTTGGGTGTCAACCACTTTGATCTTTGATCCATATTGAACTACTGACTGACAGCTTGCTACATAAAGCTTGAAGAAATAAAGGCATTTATTTTCCTTTGGAGGTGCATAGAGTTACAGTGAGGTCTAGTAACTGATTGGTCAGCAGACATTCCAGAGCCTTATAACGCAGCTGCAAGCAGCTACGTGCTAGCTAGGTGGGGCCAGAGAGATGTACATGTTGCAACTTATCATGTTTTAAAAGCCTGTTAACACGCGAATGGTCCACCATGTTTAAAAGCGAAAAACCTTTTAAAGGGTGCGTGGACCGCAAAGTGTTGACATGATTTGAGGCATGCCTGAAAGCAGAAGAGAGCCACTTCCAGCAGTTTTTAAAAACATGACAAGTTTGTGTTGCCTTTTTACAGCACTTAGTATTAAAACTGTTTGAGAAGCACACAGAGAAGACCACTGTACTGTTCCCACTGCAGTCCTGTCACTACCACTGCATTTCCTTCTTCCCTGAATGTCCTGCAGTCCATAATGTGTAGGCCTATATGAGACATAGTTCATTGTTCAGAGATCCGTTGCTTGATAACTCTGGAGAAACATAAAAAAAGTAGGAATTAGTATTAATAAATAGTTTTCAGTATTTTTGAGCTCATTCTTCCTCATTTTTCAGTAGTCATAGACAAGCAGAACACTCTGGCCCATGGAAAAAGTAGACTTAAATAACAAAGACAAAACAACTCCATCCAGTGTGACTAATGGAGTTTTTACTACTTGAAAACTCACCGCCCTTACATGTTTCGGTCCTTATAGACCATCATCAGAGGGAACATCGATACTTTTTTTGGAAACTACTATCACAGTGGGTGTTTTGAGTGTTAAAACACATATACATACAATGTTTGTAATGCACAGTATATACAAAATACAACTTTTCCACAACTACAGCAGCTTTCTTGGTATATTAAAGTTTTTAAAGTTTTTTAAAACTTTGTTATTTAAGTTAAAATTTATAAACCAAGTAGGTTCATGTTCCTTCTCCTATCCTCCTCCTTGATGGGGGCTGATCTTGTGCCACCTCTCTATCTTAGAAGGAGATTCTTGGTATCGTCCTGTGTTTGTTTGTGGCGTGTAATTTGTTAGTGTGACGGACCATAATGAAACAAATTAAAGACTTAAATAAATTTGTATGGACACTGCCGCACCAAATGGAGAAGAAAAGTTTGACTTAAAGCTCATCTGATTGAACTACCTGCAGTCTGTTACACTTGTAGCACAATGCAATTTAATGACATGGAAATGAATTGAAGTTTCCAGAACTACTAAAATCTAATACCAGCAATTATACATGGTCTGCATAAATTCTGAAAGGCTGGACTATACATTAAAAATATACCAATCAAAGTTTTGGCAGCATATTTATATGTGAACAGTGATTCTCATTCGAAGCATTTGTGACAGTCATGCTCTTGTACTTCATGCAGATCAGCAACATACTATGGACGGGATCGGGTGTGTAAATTGAGCCCAGATACGAGACGCTCCCTACCTCAGCACTTCAGGCGGGCAGCTGGTGATGTTGACTACATGGAAAATGAGTGTGCACAGCGTAAGTTTCTAAAATCATATTTGTGGCCTGTAAGGATGAAACTAGAGTATGGCTGAAGTTATGGACATATACCCTAAAACACCCTCCATTATAAAAACTAAAAACCTGTCAAAGACTTAAAAATGAATTTCAAGTAGTAGTAAAGATAGGGGCAAATCAAATATCAGGTATGAGAGGTTGTGCGATGAATTATTGTGGGCTCTAGATTTGATGATTGGATTTACTGGACACATCTATTATAATTACAGCTAACTATGACAGCTTACAATCAATGACTTGCTCCATTCTTTGCTGGATCATGAGCATCTTCTCTTCCACTATGACATATGAAGAATTCCTGCTTCCATCTTGAACTGCCTTGAAGAACGTTAGTCTGACAACTGAACTTTAAAGTCAAAGTCAAAGTGAAAGTTACTTTATGACTGGCAGTTTACCACCAATTAATTCATCTTAGCACCAGGCCCCTTGAGATCCATGACCAGAGATATTCTTCAACTGAACCCTTCCAGTAATAGCCTTTATGTAACATCCTCTCTGACAAGAAGATGGGGTTGTGTCTTGTGAATATGCTTGGCTTTCTGTCAAATGTACATTTTGCACGTATAACATGTTATTGAAAATTCTTTTTGCATTACACACAAGTTCTCTATCAGTACAGGCTTTACAGAGTAGATCGTGACTATGTTATATATATATTGTACTACTGTGTCAGCTTAGTCCTATGAATGGTGATAAGCCATACCACTGCCAAGTTTAAGGCTCTTATATTTTCTGTGTCTGGCTTCACCTTATCCTATACTGCGAACATGTTCATTTTTTGTGATTTTGTATGACTTCTGCTTGTCGCCTGCACAATTTTGTTATATGGGTATAATCATATACATGTGGAAGGTTGAAAGCTGTGTGCAAATTGCTGACAGGTGTGCGCCTTGGAAAATTTCCAGTGTGGTGCACAGAACCTTATTTTGCATACACTGCAATTATAAGAGGTAGGTATCTGCTGTTAATTGCCAGGCAGGAGAAGCGTAAATCATTACTGATCTGATCAGTGCCATTTGGAAGGTTAGTTTCATGTCAGCGCGTAAATGCTCAGGTTTGAATAGGGAGTAGATTCCTATAAATATTCTGAAGACCTTGGTTTCAGTCATTTCTTTGTGCCTGAGTCTTATCTTTATCGATTTTTATGTTCCAATGCCACACCATGCCTCAGTAACAACACCACCTCGCTGCAGCTTTCTAAGAAGATAACCCCCTTTGCAGTCTGTCACATATATACAGGTGTCATCGGCAGAGAGACCGAGATAGACACTACCAGGTGTTTGGGGCATATCATTTATACTATATTGACTGTACAGTGTGGGGGACATGACAGAATCTTATGGCACCCTGGCTTGTATATCCCTTGCCATAGATTTTTCACCTTCAAACGAAACAATGAATTTTCTCTGTGAAAGAAAAGAGCCAATAAGCTTGATTAGACTGATGAAAAATTATAATGTAGATAATTTATATAGCAAGCCAAAATTCCATGTTCTATCAGAGGCTTTCTCAATATCCAAAAATACAAAATTGTAGATGTGTTATTGTTAAAATTTAAGGTTATATGGTCCATAAGCCTCATACATTGAAGTGTCATGCTGTGATGGTCACAGAAACCGAACTCACTTGCATTAAGTAGGCCTTTTTCTTAAATGTGCCTTTGGACTACATATATTCAGAATAACTTTTTCGAAAAATTTTCCTGTTGTAAACAAGAGAGGCTAATCAGGCATAAATTTTGAGGAAATTTTGGGTCCTTACCAGGCTTGGGTAATGTTATAAATTTTGCTTCCTTCCAAGGCTTTGGAAAATGTGACAGCCAAAGGCAGTGATTAAATCTATCAGATGTACCAGTGGTCTTCTTTCAAGATTCATAAGGCATTTGTTTTGAATACCATCAAGTCCACAAGCCTTTCACAATTTTAATGAATATGCTAATTTATATATGTCACAAAGTCTTTAATTTTCCCTTGTGGGGTGCCATCTATAGATGTGAGCAGCGTTTGGACTGTAGTCTCCACCTGTCATTCATGGTTTTTATCACACAGGTCATGCGATATGAATTGGTTTTCTGAACAATCTGCAAGCACATTGGCTTTTTTGTTCTTATGTTATTCCTGAAGGTCCATGAATAGTGGTTGGTGCCTTTGGTCCATCCCTTTACATAAGCAATTTCACAATAGACCACAGAACCTGGAGATGTGGGTCACATTTCCATAGTTTTGTTTCCTACCATCTGAGTGCCTTTCTTTCTGGTAGTTTTGTTCACAGCCTCTAGTGCAGTATCAGAATTCTTTCTTTTGGACTTTGTTAATCTATTATCCTGTTTTCTTATATACAAGGTGTGTCCCAAAAACCATAAAATATATTTCTTTCCCGCGCTCTGGAACTGGTTGGGTTAGGGGGGGAGGCCTTTAGCTTCACAGCGCACCCAAGGTCAGTCTGCTCGAGCATCGGAGGCATCAGTATCGCTGATTTAGTGCACCTGTGTTTTGTGACCACGTCATGGCGCGTGATGGCGGATACTTTCGAACAACATTGGGCGGTCAAGTTCTTTACAAAGCTCAACAAAAAAGCTGCTGAAACTCACAAACTGCTTAAGCAAGCCTACGGGGAGTCTGCTGTATCATATGTGCAAGTTACAAGGTGGGTGAAGAAGTTTAAGGAGGGCCAGGAAGGAGTGGAAGATGACCCCCGCTCTGGACGGCCATCAACAAGCCAAACCGTTGAAAATGTGACTCGTGTGCGTGATTTGTTGCATACTGACCGTCGAATGACTGTCCGGTTGTTAGCCGACACTCTGAACATTCCAAAAACCGTTGTGCATCGCATCGTTATGGACGAATTGAACATGCAGAAGGTGTGCGCCAAGCTGGTCCCCAAATTGTTGACAGATGAGCAAAAGGCCAATCGAGTGTTGATCGTGAGTGAATTGAAGGAACGTGTGGAAATTGAACCTCATTATTTAGACTGTGTTATTACTGGTGATGAAACGTGGACATTTGAGTACGACCCAGAAACGAAGTGCCAGAGTGCTGAATGGCACACCTTGGCTTCCCCGAAACCGAAGAAGGCGAAGATGAGCAAATCCAAAGTGAAAACAATGCTCATCGTCTTTTTCGACACCAAGGGTGTGGTCCACAAAGAGTTTTTACCCCAAGGACAGACCGTCAACGCCCCCTACTACGTGGATATTCTAGAAAGATTAAGGAAAAGACATCGCCGCTAACTGGCGGCTGCATCATGAGAATGTGCCCAGCCACACGTCTCTGCTCGTCCGTGAGTTCCTGGCGATGCACCACATGGCAACGCTGCCGCAGCCACCCTACAACCCTGACCTAGCTCTGGCCGACTTCTTTTTGTTCCTGAGGATCAAGACTGCACTCAAAGGACGCCGTTTTGAAAGCATTCAGGCTATCCAAGTGGCCGTGACAACAGCTTTAAATGAGGTTCCCGTCGAGGCCTTTGAGGGGGCGTACCGGGCATGGGAGAGTCGGTGGAAAAAATGTGTAGATGCTCATGGACAGTACTTTGAAGAATATTAACACTTTGTACCGATATCATCAATAAATTTAAAATATATATATATATTTCATGACTTTCGGACACACCTTGTAGAAACTCAAATATTTTAGAAATGAATTCCAGTTCAATCTTTATGTGAACAGGACATAGGCTTGTAGGGTATGACAGCATCTTTGTCTAAGAGGCCAATGAAGTAAAATTTCTTCATATTCTGTCCACCTGAAGACAGAACTAGAACGTGTTTCTGAAATATGTATAAGAAACATGGGTGACAGTCAAAGTTCATAAGAATAGCCTTAAGTATGATAATCCACCCTAGTCAATAAATTTAAGCTTAAACTGTAATTGTTTCTCATTTAAAATTCCATATTGCTGCATTTGGGAGCCACAGTTAAAGGTTTCCAATAAAAAAATTAGCCCCTTTTTTTGCAGAGAGGCTCCTAGATCAAATTAACTGTGACACATTATACATAAGTGTAAATTTTGTTTCAGAGCCTCCAAACTGTGAATACACAAATTTTCCAGGAAAATTTCTACCATATACAGACCGATATGTGCCTCAAACTTATGCCACAGCAGACTGCAGGAGATTATGTAATCAAGAGCGTGAATTTCCGTGTCGATCATTCAATTACAACTCTGCAAGACGTGACTGTTTCCTCAGTTCAGATGACACATTTGCTGCTGATAAAACAGCGCTACTTTCTGACAAAGATTTCTTCTATAGTGAACATGGTTCTTGTAGTAATGGTAAGTACTAGCAAAGGCTGAGTGAAATATTGCCATCAAAACAAGAGTCTCAATCCACTATGCAACTACTATAACAAACTGCTTAGGTAAGTTGGTATTCTGAAGAAATATGACAGATTTCATTTTTTGGGCTAACAAATGCTGCTTAAATTTTTTCCAAACATCAAGATATGGATGTCACAATTGTAATTATGGGAACATATATAATAATGATATGTATGTGATGTTTTGGTGAAAAATTGCATATAAAGCTAGGAAGTGGAATTTTTTATGCTAATGCTCAATTTTAAAATACTTGTATTTATGATGTTACAGTAAAATAAGGAAGTACATAAATAGATTTTTTAATTGTACCTTCCGAGAGCAGTTCACTTCCTTCTCAGATGCAGTTAATCTTCATATTTGTTTCCAATTCCATAGATCCAGATGGGCTAAAATGCCATTGGATTTAGAACAAGTCCCTTACATGCATAGTTTCAAAAATGATTGAAACCAGTCAACACAATAAATTTTCTTATACATGTGGTGTTAACACCACATATACACGGTGCCAAATCCCAGAAGACTGCTTTCTTCATAGTCACCGCCGTGAAAGCCTCAAATCTTTCTTATACATGATTGGACAAATTATAAAAACATGCAAGATAGCCACAATTTTTATACACAAAATAGTACAATTAAAAACATAAAGTTGACATCTTACAATCAAAATAATCAAAATTTACAGTCATAAAATCAGCAATTTCAATTCTTTAGATATAGTCAAATTTCAAAATTCTTATTTATAACAATAGTATTCCTCCACAGTGTAGAAAGAGTTGGTGGTCATGAAATTCTTTAATGCTGCTTTAAATTTAGGAATATCATATGATATTTGTTTAAGAGTTGATGGAAGGTGATTGTAAAGTTTAATACCAGAGCACTGTACCCCTTTCTGGCATACAGTCAGATTTACTACTGGAAAATGCAAATCACAATTAATTGTATTAAAAGTATTAACATCTTAGTTCATTTGAAATAAATATTATCAACAAACATTAATAAAGAGAATATATACTGAGAGCAGAATGGTAAAATATACAGATCCTTAAATAAATTTTGACAAGAATCCCTGCTGGCAGAATTTGTAATTATTCTTATTATCCTTTTTTGGATTTTAAATATAATTTATAGTGAGTTGAGCTACCCCAAAATATTATACCATACAAGATAATTGAATGGACAAATGAGAAGTAAACCATTTTTGAAGTCTCCAAAGACAATAATGGTTTCAAAAATCTAATTATGTAGATACTTTATTTAGTTTAGGTATCAGTTGTTCAATATTAGTATGCCATGATAAACTTTTTTATCAATTATTAAACCTAAAAATGTTATGGTATGTACACTAGTCATTTGTGTGTTTCCATATGATATATTTAAGTCAGCTGCATTAGTGTTTTTAGTTAAAAATTGGATGAAATAAGGTTTTTCCAGATTTAATGATAATAAATTGCTATGAAGCCATCTATTTAATCTGTGTATGGCGGTATTTATATCTCTTTCAAACATTTGGATATCAGGGTTTGTAATTATCAGACTAGTATCATCAGCTTATAAGACAGGGTTTGAGATGTTGGATATTACATGAGGCATATCATTAACATATAAGAGAAAGAGCAAAGGACCAAGTACGGACCCCTGAGGGACACCAACAGTAACAGGTTCCCATCTAGAGTAGTATTTACTTGAGTTAACATTAACTAACACACTCTGATATCTGTCTTGTAGATAGGATTTTATTAAGTTATAAGCTGTTCCTGTAATCCCTTAGAATTCCATTTTGAACAACAAAATATCATAACTAACACTATCAAATGCCTTATGAAGATCGCAGAAAATACCCCCCAACTAATAATTTACTATTTAATGCTATTAAGATATTATTAATTAAGTGATAAGATGTGCAATCTGTTGATGATGCTTGCCTAAAGCCAAACTGTTCATTAACAAGACTATGATTATCCTTAATATGTTGATATAATCTATTATAGAGTACTTTTTAAAAAATGATGTGATGTGAGGAGTGAAATAGGTCTATAATTAGATGTGTCATTTTTGTCTCCTCTGTTTAAATATAGGTCTTATTTCCAAAAATTTTAATCCTGTTGGAAAACTGCCAGTAATCACCATTCTGTTACATATATAATCTAAGGGAGAAGAAATATAGGGAGTACTACTTCTTAAAATTTTTGTTGAAATCCCGTCATATCCGTATGAGTTCTTTATTTTTAGTGACCTTGTTATATCTTCTATTTCTTTAGGTGATACCCATTTTAAATTTACGGCAGGAAAAGGTCAGGGAAATGCCTTGAATAAGTATTTTTAGAATTTGCACGATTCTGGTAGTTACTTTGAGCAGCCGAAACAAGTATTTACTAAATGCATCAGTGATAATCTGACCATCATGAGTTAAATTACCATTCACCTTTATTGAAATTATATTATGGACATTTGGTTTTATGTTATAGTTATTTTTTACAATATTCCACGTAGTTTTTACTTTATTTTTGAACGAGTTAAAATACTGTTATATCTTTTTTTTTTGCTGATTTAATGTCACCTGATAAAATTTTACAGTATCTCTTATAATAGTTGTTCAAAATTGGGTCATTACTGCTTCTTTGAGCTAAAAAAAAGCCTTCTTTATTTGTACATGAAATCTTTAGGCTTGGTGTTAACCAAGCCTTATTATCATATTTAAAATACACTTTTTTTGAGAGGAAAACGAGAAGAAAATATTCTTCAATATATATTCAAAAAATAATTAAAGGCAGTGTTTACATTTTTCTCAATAAATATATCCTCCCATATTACATAACTTAGTTTAATATTAAAGTCCATAATTGATAATTCATCAATTTTCTGATTATAAAGTAACAAGTATTGTATTTTTGAGTAAATATGTGGGCAATCCAAAAGTTTCCAAAATTTGAATTTTACGCGCGGATGGTTATGAGTACATCGAAATACCGCTAGATGTCTCCTCACACATCCTTCTTGAATCAGTGTGGCAAGCGGCGTCGAGTTGAGTGGTTGGGTTTATTGTTGGTGAACGTATTTCCATTGTTGTGTTTCCATGAGTTTGCGGTTTTGCGATGGCTGACCTGAGAGAGCAGCGTGTCTGTATAAAGTTTTGTTTCAAACTTTGGAAAACCGCTGCAGAAACGCACCAAATGTTGAAGCAAGCTTTTGTTGAAAACAGTTTAGGCCAGACACAAACTTACAACTGGTATAAGCGTTTTAAAAATGGCCGAACATTGACTGATGATGACGATCGTTTGGGTCGGCCGTCAACGGGGCAAAACACCAGAAAATGTCACGAAAGTTAGGGATCTGATTCTGCAAGATCGTAGACTGACCATCCAAGACCTCTGTAACACCTTGGGACTAAGTTATGGTACATGTCAACGAATTTTGTGAGAGGAACTGAACATGAGGAGGATTGCGGCGAAGTTTGTGCCACGACTGCTGCAAAATGAACAGAAGCAGCATTGCTTGGAAGTCTGTAGGGAACTTCATCAGCAGCTTCAAGAGGATCCAAACTTTCTTTTGAAGGTTGTCACTGGTGACGAAAGTTGGGTTTATGGCTATGATCCTGAAAGCAAGCAGCAATTGTCGCAATGGCAGAGCCCTTCTTCACCTCAGCCAAAAAAAAGCTCGACAAATCAAGAGCAACATGAAGTCCATGTTGATCTGTTTTCTTGATATTGACGGGATTGTTCATAAGGAGTTCGTACCTCCTGGTCAGACAGTCAATAAAGAGTTCTATTGCGATGTACTAAGGCATTTGAAGGAGAACATGAGGAGAAAACGTCCAGAGAAATGGCGCACGAATGACTGGGTACTCCACCATGACAATGCACGACTGCATATGGCTTACATTGTGCAGGAATTTTTGGCTAAAAGCAAGATGGCAGTTGTTCCCCACCCACTGTACTCGCCAGACTTAGCTCCATGTGACTTCTTTCTCTTCCCCAAGATGAAAATCAAGTTGAAGGGGCGAAGATTTGATACAGTTGAGGAAATTCAAGTGGAAATGCAGACGGTGCTAAACACCCTAACAAAGAAAGACTTCCAGGATGCATTTGAAAAGTGGCAGAAATGCTGGCATCGGTGTATGCGCTCCCAAGGGGACTACTTTGAAGGTGATGGTGCAGAATAAGATCTAGGTAAGATGTAATAGTTTTTATTAATATATTTCGGGAACTTTTGGATTGCACCACATATATTATGTATTGTTAAACCTTGGGCATCATGATCTGAAAGCCCATTTATAATATGGTATACCAAAACATTATTAAACTTAAAAATATTAATAAAAATATTATCAGTTGCATAGTAAGAATTTTCCCGAATTCTGGTAGGAAATTTCACAATACTGGATAGACCATAGGAGGCTAATATCAAATCTAAAGATTGTATGTGGAGTCATTAAGATAGTTAATATTAATATCTCCGCATATTATTATTTCAGTGGTGTTGCTGTTTGTATGTGGAGTCATTAAGATAGTTAATATTAATATTTCCACATATTATTTCAGTGGTGTTGCTGTGAAGCATATTTAAAATTTCATCCATCTTAAATAAGAAATATTGTAGATTTCCAGATGTAGATCTATAAATAGCAATAATACATATTTCATAATACAATAGGAGTAATTTAACTGCACAAGCCTCTAGTTCCTTTTCCTTACAAAATTTTTCCAAATTTTTATTCGTGTATTGAATGGATTCATGGATTAGAATACATACTCCTCCTTTCTTAAATGTGTTTCTGCAAAATTTAGCTCCAAGATTATACTTTGCCAAGACATTCACCCGTACACTTATACAATCTCACAATTACTGCCATTGGCATTATCACAATTACTTCTCCTGCTGGAGTCATTGCCATTCACTCGTTACAACTCAACAATGGACTTCAACTCACTCTGGCGAATGCTAGACTGCAACTGACTGGTTACTCTGGTAATCCTCTCATTATATAGCTTCCACACTGACAACACAAAAAACAGTTACGTGATAGCTACCACTGTTGCATAATGTCGTGTTTACAGGCGTGGCTGGGGAACGCTGCTGAGAGTTGTTTATTGCTGTGTAGTAACTGCAGTGTCCCCTGTTACATCACTGTGAGAAGTGCTGTTACATCACCACAGGAGGTGACAAAGTGTTTACTGAGCGTTGCATAATAATGGACAGGGTGGGGGTATGTGACATCACTCGCAAGACTGCAGAGTTCACGTGACCCCTACTTCCCGTTGGGCCATTCACATTACAATATCTATAGCATTATCACATAGATGGTGCTCAGTTAGGCATATAATATGTGAAGAAATTTAGAGTGAGGAGTTAAAATAGTTTGTCTAGCTTGCTTCTCTTAAGATCTCTAATATTTTGGTGAAAGATGACAAGATCTTTTTTTTGGGGGGGTTTTAAAATTAGAGAACTGACTTATATGGTCTTGGCTCAGTATAGATACAATTGTAATTATAATTATATAGTCTACTAGGTTGTGGCTCATCAGCTAAATATCCCATAAAAATTGTCTTTCCTAGTTATCTGTAGTTTTCTATTTCGTTTAATAATTTTCTCAGTTTCCAGTTGGCCATTTTTATGAATGTGGGAAGGTTTGGCTGTTAACCTTTAACGTCCGAAGTGCCCTGTTTGTGCCAGTGATGAGTATAGTTGTCATGGCCAAAGTATCCCGTTTTGGTCAGTCGGGCATTTAAACTCCGCTAGTGGAAGCGCACACATGCCACTAGTAGAAGCACATGCACAGTCCTAAATATTTATTTTCAAATGTAGTAATTACCAGACAGGCTTGAGTAAAACCCTAATAGGGGAATTAAAATGATACCTAAGTGAACAACAGCAAAAAAGAATACACATACGAGTTATGCCCAAACTCATCCATGAGCCAGTACTTTTATTGTAGATTCTGCAGATTGATGTGTAAAAATATATAGTAAAATTCGATGTACATACCTTTTTTGTTGTTATCTGCATGATGTATCTGCTGAAATTAAACTACAGAATTCGATGTCACTACGAACGCACAGAAAACAGATCACACTCTGTATCTAAGCCACGATACAACTGTATGTTCACGACCATAGAAAGGGCAATAATCTCTTGCTGCTATAATGGAAGGTCTTAGGACTGAAGATGGGACCCCTCTAGCTCTTTTTCTTGAAGAGCCATTCTTTCATTTTTCTGTCCTTTAGTCAAAAGATTCGAAATTCTGAAGGGTGTAACAAGATGTAAGGTTTCCCAGCAGAGAACCAAATGATTTTATTGCTTCCATCTGTTTTATGACACCAGGGTCTGCTAAAATTTGTCAAGTGTTACCAACAAAAATGAATTTATAATGCAGAACACCTCTGTGAAGAACTGGGAAAATATTTTTGCAGTATATATCAAAATGAAAAGAGAAAAATTGAAAAAAAGAGTGTAATTCTTTGTATAAAAATTTTCAAAACTTCCGTTATAAAATGCAACACTATGTTCTTTGCTGATATAAACAAAGTTAATTTCAGCCATTTATCATAAACATTATGTGAGATACAGCATTTTTAAACACAATGCTTGAAATTGTTTAAGCGCCCCAACAGGAATGGACATTTAAACACAGAGTAACAACGGGCATTTAAACGCGCACCATCAGCGGGCATTTAACACTTTGCGGACCGCAAACCCTTTAAAAGCTTTTTTGCTTTTAAACATGTCGGACCGTTCGCGTGTTAACAGGCTTTTAGGACATGATAAGTTGCAACACACTATACATAGCTCTGGTGCCACCTACATTGCACGCAACCGCCTGCAGATGCATGATAAGACTCTGGAATGTTTAGTTAGCAGTCAGTAACTTGACCTCGCTGTTTACTTAACTGACTATAAAGGAAAATGCTTTGCCTTCTTCAAGCTGTGTGTATCAGCCAGTAGCTAGTGGGGAGAATGGATCAAGGACAAATTCTCCTCCGATGACCTAGCTGACCTGCTTTGTGAGACGCGTAGTAATGGATTAATTGTCATTCAGACAGCGACAGTGACGGGGTACAACAAAGAATTATGGCCACAGACAGTAAAAGTGACAGTAGCTCCAACGATAATGCGGGTAATAACATTGTGCGTAGTAACATTGAGGGGACAGTAAAAAATCTAAAAAAAATCTAAACCCTAATTCAAAATTGAAATACAAAGCATTTCTGATGAACGTGGCAAAGGCCTGGGCTACAGTCCAGATGGTGGCGGCAGAACCAGGGTCACACAAAGGCTTAGTACGACCGGGCCCATTAACTCCCACCCCATGAAGGCCTCATGTGGACCCTCCAGGGAGACTCTTGAGTGATATGCGGAAAAATACCCTCGTGAAAATTGTGAAGAGTGAACATTCCAAGGGGAAGAATCCTTCTAGGCAATGCCGTGTTTGCACAGCTCACAAAAAAAGGAGTATGTCTACATTTGCAAGTTCTGTGTAATGCCACTTCACAAAGGGGAAACTTTCCAGAAATATCACACCCTCAAGCACTTCTAGGAGCATTTGTAAGTGTTCTCCAAAAATTTTAGTTCAAAAAATTAATTAGGAGATTTTATATTAATTTTTAAAGTGGACAGTGCACAAGTTAGGGTAGTATGTTTAAAAATGCTGGTCCCCAGGGTGATTTAGATATTTAAATCACCGGTCCACAAAGTGTTAAATAAAGTCCAGCCAGCTCAAGCTTACTACCATTTCAAAAGTCTGGCATTTAAAGGTTAAGGTGCCATTATCTCATGTTATTTTGCCACACCAACCAAGAATTATAGGTTTACTATTGTATTTTTCCAACAGGGAAAATATAATAATTCTACTTGATTTACCAATAGCTCTTTACCTAGTTTGCTTAAATGAAAACCATGTTTAGTAAATGGAAGTCTATTGCTAAAAATTTGGGCTATGGTAACATGACTAAAGGCTCTAGCAAGTTTATGCAGTTTACTATTAAAAAGTTTAGTTAAACTATTAACATAGGAATACTTCAGAATGTCGTGTCTGAAATGGACACTTATTAGAACAATATTAGTGTGATTTACTGTCTTAATAAAATTAATAATGTTCTTAAATGCAGTTTTGGAATCATTTCTGTCATTTGCTCCGCTGCAAATTATCAAAAAGTCATTCTCTGTAAGATTACGCACTTCATCCTTCATAGTCTCCATTAGTGACCCAATATCTGATCCTGGTTTCACAATGCCACACATCAAAACCTGCATCCAGATATATACTTACCATTTCTGTTATTAGTTCTGTTTAACAGAAGTATGATTTCATATCAAAAGGAACTACATGTTGGACATCTATGATGACATTATCCTCTCACCCCACCTGTTTATTCTTATGTGCCATTCCCACTGATGGTGTTCCACCTACCATTCAGAAAGAAATAGACCCATCTCCTTTTGTTGGTAGCAGCACTTCTTATTTATGTTTTACAGCTAGGACATGGTCAGGAAATATATGGCTTTTGTACTTCAAAATAAAAATGATATTTCAGGTATTTTTACATTGAAAAATGATAAACTGATAAAACAAGTAACGTTTCATGTTTGGTATGCCTGTTGTATTGTCATGCTTTCAATATTTATGAAAACTGAAAACTTCCTTTGTTTAAAATATAATGCCGTTGAGGTACTGACCAGAAACATATAAACTGTGTTATACAAAAACTTTCATATATTTATCAGTTATGTTGCTCCACCATGATATACATGTGCAATATGGTCACAGTACACATGGTCAACAAGGTATGAACACCTAACATACCCGAACAACTGTGCATATAAACAGCAGAAGAAATGTTCACATTTATTCTTGCTGATTTAGTGTAATGTGCTCTTTAATTTTCAATTGTAAAGTAAACTGCATACAATGTTGTAGGTTAAATAAACCTTCTTCATAACATCAGGAACTCAGGTACTGCTAATTATATTATTTTTTATGGGGAAAAGATATGTTTTGAGTTAAGAACAACTTTTTTTATAGGAGGCTTTGGAATGTACCCTATTCATAAATCAAGGATACAGTGTGAATATGTAAATGGAACTAGAGCCTAAGATGTGTTTATGAAGTGTGTGGTATATATTTCTGGATCTCATAGATCACTTTAATGTTTATGAGAAAGACAAGCTTATGTTGTTTTGATTATTTTAAGTTTCAAGGTGTGAAGAAAAAAAAATATATATATATATGGTTCTTAGTAGACATATATTGCTGTTCTTGTTTCTGGCAATAAAAGCCATATTAACTAGCTTCAGTTACATCAGGGATTTTTTTTTTTTAAAGTTCTGATGTACCATTTGAGAAAACAGATCTATTTTCATCCACAGTTCGAGTTGACTGCACACAAGCAGACATGCTGGTAACATTTCTGTTTGGAGCTCCTTTTGAGGGACGAGTGTATTCTACAGGAAATCCACAAGCATGTTTTGAAATGGGAAATGGTCAAGCACAGATAGTTCTCCGTATTCCTATGGGAACTCAATGTGGCACTGTTCAACAGGTGAGTATACTCCATGAATAGAAGGTGACCAGACATGTTGTATGGATACTGCACTTACTCTGAAACAAGCCACACTAAATATGGTGTAAAATGTGAAATAACTTCTTCTTGCAAGTTCCCTAATGCCTCCTAGCAGTTTAGGCACCACTGGTTGAGCTATGAATAAAAATTGAAAGGAAATATTTGTTTTTCATAACTACAGAAGAATTGGAGACATATTGTAATATTATTTTTATTATTTGTGTTCTTGTTGGTAGAAGTCCAGAGAACAATTTTTGGTAGAAGAATGACACCACAAATGAGAACAGTAAGAACCTATAATAATAGAACAGAATATTGTAGGAAAAGCAGCAAAACAGGAAATGAATGTTGATTATCACACTGAGACTTTTCTTTCAACACCACCTCCATGCTGTAGAAGAAGAGACTGAATCATATCAGTTCTGAACTTCAAGTGGTCAGTTCATCTTCCTTGTGAATGTGCTCTGCAGATAATCGTGGAGTTGAGAACTGAAGCATTTGGTAATCTTCTGTACATTTTAATGTACCACTTCGTTGTCTCTTTCCTTTCCAGTAGATAAGAATAAGGAAGCTGAGCTTTCAGGTAAACTCCTATCATATTTTCATTGTAGTCCAGAACTGACACATCTTTTTCATTTCCTTCTGCCCTTATTCTTTTCTTTCTTGTTTCATCACCATATGTTGAGGTCATGGTGACTTTCTCTTATCATTCCATTTCAGCACACACTGGTCCAGGAAGCTGAGCCACAATTTCCCATTTCCTTCATCTTTCTCTGTCAATATTTTTGGCATACTTTTCCTGTTCTTTCCCAGAATTCCACCATAATCAGTTTTCATATACTTCAGTTTCTTCACAGAGCCAAATACAGGAGTGTAGGCCCATTACTGGGTAACAAACTTGAAAGAAACAATGAAACAACACCTGCTGCTAGGCAACAGGATCTTAATAAGCAAGTATGAGCAGCCACTACTAAGGAATGCCTTCACAAACAAACAAGATAACCATTGGAATACAACAATAAGCAGAGTTTTCAACAAGATTCTGCCAAATGGTTATCAATGGGGCAAATTTAGAAGTTGTAACATAGAGTTGGCAGGAAAGGAATCTGTGAAGAGAAGACTTGGTCAGTGTAGTTGAAGAATCCCCACTGTTAGAAGCCATTACTAGGGAATGACTCATGGAAACTGCAGTAGACTGAAAAGACTTTGTGTGTGATGCAGTGATTTGTGAAGTGTGGAAATTAGTGATAGTGTTATAGTGATTTGTAGTTACTACCTGTAAGTTGTCAATAAATCCAATCTTCAATCCAAAACCCCATCGACAGTCACTCCAACACATGATAATATTGATTCAAATCTATCCATTGATATCACAGAGCCAAATACAATAGCTGCCAGTCAGATTGTTTTTTAAGTATGACCTTAGTGTGGGCTTTTGAACTATACCCATGATGATGAAAAGTTCCAGAAAAACATACACTATATCTCTTCATCAACAGGTTTCCAGTCTCTCATCCTAGATCTTTGGAATAAAAACCAAACACTCAGGACTAAAATCTTGTAGAAAGCCATGAAGGATCTGTCAAATCACACTGATCTTCTCTGTGAGTTGGTAACCTCATTGCTGATAAGTGGGATCCAGATGGGAGGTAAAAGAAAAAGGTAAGAGGTAAAGCTGTCCCTGTAGCAGGCCATGAAGGCCCATAGGGGTGTGAGAGGTCAAGGCTCCCACATCTTCCATACAATCGGTCACAGGTGGTGGTAAGGTTGTCAGTCTTACAAGCCTGCTGCCCTTTACCTACCAGGAATCTTCCTTGTACTCATTTCTGTTAGAGACTGAGTCCATTCTGGGACCATATTGTGGCTGGAAGGATTAGGTAAATTGGAAAAATTCAATGAACTCATCAGGAAACAAACCCATGACCTTCCAGCTTGTAGCATAGTGCCTCAACCAACTAACTGTCCATATTGGTTTGGTAAATGGATTGGTTAAATATACCTATACCTTCTTTTCCTTTCAATTTTCAAAATCCTAGCTTCATCCCAGGCTACTCTTCTACCCTCTTCATAGGTATGTTGCACTAATTCTGACTTTTCTAGAAGACCCTCTTTGAGATTGTGCCTATGTTCGTGGTGTCACATGGCTAGAGGTCTGCCTGTTTCCCCAATCTAGCTTCCACCACATTCACAGGGAATACTGGAGATGCACTGTACCATCTGTTGCAGATCTCTTTCTGGCCTGGTTCTCATGGGTGAATTCTGCATTTAATACTATGCATTGGCTTTCATGGACTGGGTTTCTTGGCTAGGTTTGTTACATACAATTTTTACCTCCCTTTCAATCTTAGTTCCACATCTGTTGATGTTTTATCATAATTTTTATTTCATGTTTTCCTGTTATCTCCCTTTGACACAGCCTGATCTCAGACATTTATATAGCTGTAACTGATCTGACATGGCTGTTCCAGTGATTGAGGTTTGTGCTTTCTGAGGGACCCAACAGGCTGTCTCTCCCCACTCACTTGAGGATGGAATCAAATACAGTTTTTTAAACACTGTGTTCTGAAAACATGACTCAGACCGATGTGCAGCAGTTTTCATAATCTCATTCTTTTCAACTGTGCTCTTTTCTTTGCGTCATGTCACAGACATCGTGTCTTGACATATGCCAGTGTGCGGTCTACCTTAACCTCTTATATGATTCCCTTATGTACAAAAGTCCTGTTCCTGATTCATGTAATTGCTGCTGATGTCATCCCTGTCCCATCTTATCCTCTGTACTTTCAATAAATCTAAATTATACCTTGCTATTTATCATGAAAATTTTGTCAGTGAACTCCTTACATTTCATGTGCTAAATCTCAATTCCATTTTTTCTTCAATATGTTGTTCCAAAGAACCCATCCAAGTCCAAGGCCCTGTGTAACATTCCATAACATGCTGGGGTTTTTATTTATTTTTTTTTTGTAGTAAGAAGTTGCTAGCCCCAAGCAAACCCCCAAATCTCGAGGACTACTCTCTGCTAGCTCAGCTCTCAGCAACTGCCTGTTCAGTATATTCTCATTTACCCTGCATATCTGAAGGCCGTCTCCTCCATCCGCTACCTAAGGACAAGCCATGTTATGGTGAAACAGGACACACTTAAAATGGCAGTAATTACTATCATCAAAATCTATTTCTACTTCTTTTAGCAATTGCTCTTTATTCTCACATTATAATATCCCACAAAAGTGGTAAGGTGGAGTCCCACAGACCCCAGACATTCTATCGACTGTGTGAACCCCACCTTCGGTTTTGTTGTAAAACAGAATGGTTTCTGGCTTAGATGTTCTCTCATCTACATTATCACCATAATGTAATGTGGAAATCATGACATTTTTTTGGCACAAATGAAGCTATTGTGATATTGTATTGAAATTCAAAAATGGTAGTCACTGGGTTTCCTCACTTGATATTGATGAACTCAGGTGACAATTCTCTTTTATTTTTCTTGATTGTTCCCACCGAATTTAGCTTATGATCTTCTAAGAAGGATTTAGCCAATGGGTAACTTGTGAACCAATTATATGAGGGTCGTACTGAAAGTCATGAGCAACAGTTTTTTGTAAGGTAACATGCTTTATTATTGACAAACCAAATACACCACCTCAATCTACAGACCTTTCTTTATTTCTCCACATAATCGCCACTTCTTTGTACACATGTCTTCCAGTGTTCTGGGAGTTTGAAAATTCCCCTTCTGTAAAATTCCGTTCCAGCCATCCGAAGACACTGACGCACTGCTTTCTGAATTGCCTCCCTTGTCTCAAAACGTTGTCCACGCAGCTGATCCTTCACAAATCTGAAAAAATGGTAGTTGGAGGGTGCCAGATCAGGACTATAGGAGGGGTGTGGAAGAACTTCCCACCCAATCTTTGCAATTGCTTCCAATGTGACCTTTGTTGTCTTCGGTCAATAACCGCAGGACCCAACGAGGACAAACTTTCCTATAACCCAAGCTTTCACTCATCCCCTGTACTGCGCTGTACTCTATTCCAAGTTTTCGGGCTACTGTGTCCACAGTCACATGCCTGACATCCTGAATGATCTCATCCACTCTTTCCTTGTTGCGTTCAGTTGAGGCTATTCGAGGACGACCACTCCGAGGCTCATCTTTGATGCTGGTGTTCCCATCTTTAAAATGTTTCACCCTTCTTCGAACACTGCTCGCACCCACGCACACACTTCCATAAGCACGCTGAATTCAGAAAGCAGTGCATCAGTGTCTTCGGATGGCTGGAACGGAATTTTCAAACTCCCAGAACGCTGGGAGAAATGTGTACAAAGAAGTGGCGATTATGTGGAAAAATAAAGAAAGGTCTGTAGATTGAGGTGCTGTATTTGGTTTGTCAATAATAAAGCATGTTACTTTACAAAAAATTGTTGCTCATGACTTTCAGTACTACCTACGTATAAACTCACATTGCGACCTGTTCCAGATATAGGTGCAATCATCCTTGTAACAACTTAAGAAGGTGTGTTTGAATCTTATATGCACCTTCGGGTTGTGTGCCGAAGTAAACTTCCAATTTAGAAGTATAAAAGGACTTGGCATCAACCAAAACAAATACTTTCAGGCCATACTTTGCCTGTTTGCTTCAAATGCACTGTCAGAAACTGCATTGTCCACGAAATGCTTCTAACTTTTTATCAATTGTTACGTTTTCTCCTAAAGAATATACAGACTCACATACTTCCTTTAACTTGTCAAAAGGTTCTCTAATTCAGCCAGTTTATCGTAAGATCTTTGTTCAGTGCTAGTACTTCAGTCGTCAAATCGTAGACATCTAAGAAGAAAATGGAAACGAAGAAGTGACATTGTGCTTCTAAGTAATTCAACACCGGTACCATCCATGGCCCATAGATCATCAAGATCCTGGTGACTAGACTTATAAAAACCGGATAAATATAAAAGTCCAAACACTACCTTTATTTCACTCATATCAGTCTTTTGAAAACTATTAGTTTTGGCATAATATACTTGCTTTCTTTCTACTTTGTTGTTCATATTCTTCAAAATCAGGTCTATCATGTCATCAGGAAAAAGAAATCTAAAATTGATTTTGTATTTTTTCGGTGCTTGGCTAACTATGTTATGTGCTCGAGTTCTTATTTGAGATCCTAACTTGTTTCTACTCCATCTTGTTTGCTTATCCTTCACCAAGTAAAAGGCCCCCTCTGTGGATTCTTCCTCACAGTCTTGTTCTGTATCAGACTCATGGTTACTGACTATTCCTAAATAAATTTCACTATCATTATCTCCGCTAAATGGCTCCTCATCTGTCAAATTGCCATCTATAAGTTGACATAACCTCTGTTCTTCCTGCTCATAACTCATGCGGTAAAAAAATGATATTCTCAAAATATCCTCTAAATATTTATGAAAACTCATTTCCTTAGAGTTGGTATGTAAAAATAACACAGTGACAATAATATTTTAGTAGTATATAATTGAAATCAACTTAAGTTTCAGAAGTAAATATAGTCACACTTTTGGAAACGTGGGGTCTGGTGGACCCCAGCACACTTTACACGTCTGGACCTTAAACTTGCTTGGGCACAACAGAATATCATCTAAGGCGTTGTGTAGCAAGTTTAGGGAGGGGAAGGTACAATGAGGCACAACTCACTACCACGCATACTTAAAAAAGTTATAGTCAAATTAGAATCGTTAAGGTCTGTGAGACCCCACCTTGCTAATGCCGGATTAATCTCAACTTCTGTATCAATATTCATGAAACTCATATATGAAATATCTCATCTCTAAAAAATTTCATGACTTAACATCTGAATATGCAGTTCTGAAACTTGACATACAATATGTATAAACACGCACACACTCATATACACCCACTGATGGTATGCCCTCAATAACACATCCACATTTATCCCCCTCCTTCCTTCTCCACCTCACACACTGTCCTGTCTCTCTTTCTTTGAAGACCCACACTTTTACTACTAGACTTGTTGAAATTTGTGATGATAAGGTTAGAAATATCTTGGAAAATGTTAAGGATTATGGAGCCAGTGGCCATAGTTTGTGAACCCAAGGAATTTGTGAAGAATCTATTATGATTTCCTCAGAAGGATGAAATATGTGTCCTGCTGAACATGACTTGAAATTTGTTCACAACAAAGGGAGAAGAAATAGGGGGAAAATTGGAAAATCAGCGTATGGAGAGGGAACATGTAAACCCAAAATTTCTATTTTAGAACTTTAAAATATCTTTAGGGATACAGCAGTAAATGCTCCTATATGTGCAAGAGACATACCCCTCAAAAGCAAGAGAATTGTGGGTATTTCTTTAACATTCCAATTACACCATTGAAGAGCACACCAGCACAGAAACCAATTCTGGTGTAGGTTCTCATTTATTTTTTAATACCTTTTTAACATAAGTGATTAGTGATGCCTTATGCCTGTTCCATGCATCCTGGATATTGCTCCCAAGGATTTTCTCTTAAGTTTCAACTTCTTACTCCTACAAACAGAAATGAAATTTCTGCTCCTCCATATCTAATCCAGTTTATAATATGCAGTATCAGTATGTAGCATGTGTTCGTGCCCACTCCTTTCGAAGTATATGAGCAGCATGAATTTCTTTCAGGAGACTTTTTTAAAGTTAACTTTTCTAGTATCTTCATATAATTGCAGTCACATGATAATACTGTCACATGATGGAGTGACTATACACAGGGTTTGGATTGGTAATTGGATTTATTGGACACTTTTAACATATAACTCGTAACTACAATTACGACTCACTATCATATGCAAACTAATGTTCTGAGTCATGGTCTTCACTGCTCTGCTTGGAAACATCTTCCAACAGTATACGTTCCTGTGCTCCCAAGGGGTCACTTCTTCCCAGGATGGTGGTCATCTCACACCAACATCCTACTCTTCTAACTGCCTTCTCATCAAGATCCTGGTGACTAGACTTATAAAAACCAGCTAAATATAAAAGTCCAACACAGCCTTTATTTCACTCATATTAGTCTTTTGAAAACTATTATTTTTGGCGTAATTTGCTTGCTTTCTTTCTACCTCATCGTTCGTATTCTTCAAAATTAGGTCTATCATATCATCAGGAAAAAAATATCTCCCAGCAATCTGAAACTGATTTTGCATTTTTTCGTTGCTTGGCTAACTATGTTATGTGCTCGAGTTCTTATTCGAGATTATTATTATTATTATTATTATTATTTTGGAAGGGGTGGGTTTCCCCATGCACTGCGACCATTTGTTGATCTATTGTGCGTCCCCCTCTAATTATTCTTCTAGTCACCATGCCCTTCCAGTACTGGTGCTCGCTATCAGCCCCATTCTGCCAGCAACAGTAACATGATGGCCACCCACTGCTGATGTGTGATGTCACCGATCCTACACCAACTGTCCACATGGAAAACACAGCTTTCTCTATTGTTGCGGGCCTGTATCATGTTTAGAAACTGTTGCCTGGCAACACATTGATCAAATGCCCATGTTATAATAAACTAACCCATACCTTCCCCATAGAAAAAGGAAGAAAATAAAGTCTGTAAAATAACATTTTTTCCATGGCCTTATTCACATGAGCCAATGCAGAAATTTTTGTCTACTTCTTTGTGTTTTATGAAGCCAGTGGTTAGATATTCCTTTAAGAATATTTTCTAGAACATTACATATTAAAGATTCTTGATGAGATATTTGGTTTGCACAGGGTCGTGGACGATATGTGAACCATGTGGTAATTCAGCAGAATCCAGTAATTATGCAAGAGACAGATAAGACAGTTCGAGTGGAATGCACATTTGATGCCAGTGATCAGACTGTATCATATGCACCCAGTGGTACACGGGACCAGGAAGGTGGAGGCATCAGTGTTTCGTAAGTGGTGGAAAACAAAACTGTTAAACTGTTTATAAATGGAACATGCAACACAGCACATCAGAAATTGCAAAATTAAATGTGTGACTGCATGAAGAACATCAGTTTCCATTGAAGAATGTTTTTCAGGCTCTAAAATCATATGTGAATTAATAATAGTTGTAAATTACTTTTAAATGTTGAATAATGAAAATGGTTGCATGCTAAAGCCTTTCATGTGGTTCTTAGGGCAAATATTATATTGTCTGTATCATTATAGGAAAGATAGAATTGGTATAATAGCTGCATAACTGTCTAGGGTGCCATTTCGGCCATCAGGAACAAATATTGTCACCAATACTGCCCCAACTCCAAATGTTCGCATGCGTATTGTGACACGGACTGGCCAAGAAGCTTCAGTGGTTGGCTTGGGAGAGGAGTTGAGACTTAAGATTGAGATAGATCCATCAAGTGCATTTGGTATCTTTGTGCGAAACTTAGAGGCCCGAACAGATAATGGTGAACTTCTCACTCTCGTCGATAATGTGGGGTAAGTAACAGTACAGTGGAGAGTGAATGGGTATTGTCTTGAACAGTTGCATAATAGCATCTTAAAGAGATTGAGTTTCAGGTTTCTGAATTTAAACACCAAGGCCAAGCGCTCTCACTGCCTTTAGGAAACTGCTTACTCTGTTTCATGAAATAATCCGTAACTGACTTTGTTCTGGTAGGTTCTAAAGGGTTCTGACAATGGTATACAGTACTCAGAATTACTGGGTTTTTGGTCCTTTTCCATCGTCCAGTGTTGTAGAGCAGTGTTCCGCAACCAGTGTGCCGTCACAAGGTGAAAGGTGTGACGCAAACTTTTACCTATTGTAAGAAATTAATTGTCGAATTTAATTAGTTTTATTTTATCCCAGTTACCGTGTTTCATATGCTTGTATTTTACTCTCAGCCACTGCACTGATTAAATAAGATGATGCTTGTTTATTCTTTATTGCATGCCATGATTTTTTATGTACAGTAATGTTGTATTCTAAGAAATTAAACGTAAATTATTTACTCACAGTTGTTGTTATATCATAGTTTTCATTATTGATTTATTTTTATTTTTCTCGAATCTACGCGGCTTCTTTGATAAACTTGCCAAATGTTCTGTATACGTGCTTTTCCCTAAAATTTCAGGAGTTAGCAAGGGTTTTCCTGTCTTTTATAACGCTATTTTGGTTAACACGAAGAAAAGTGTTAACGCGAATATTTGGACTTAATGAGAAGGTACGTGAATTTTTTACTGTTGAGGGGCATGAGTACGTGGATTTATTTGCAGATGTTGAATGGGTATGTAAGTTGGCATATCTTTCCAATATTTTCATGCACTTGAATGAGCTGAACAGAAAGATGCAAGGTAGGAACGAAAATAAACTAACTAATATGGATAAGGTGCAAGGATTTGTAAATAAGCTGAATTTGTGGATACAGAGAATTACAGATGGGTCGTTTGAGATGTTCCCGACTGTATGGCCACTTGCTAACAGCAATAAAATGGTGGTGGACACAATTAAAGAACATTTAGAAATGCTGCAGCAGAAATTCAATAAGTATTTTGGAAAAAGTGTACGAGATTTCGACTGGGTTCGTGATCCATTCGTTGCGAATTCAGAACATCTTCCAATTAATATACAAGAGGAACTCACAGATTTAAAAACATTGAAACTAAAGCTTCTCGAAATGCCTTTGGATACGTTTTGGTTGGCAATAAGGAGTGGATACCCCGCTATCTCTGAGATGGCAGTTAATGTGTTATTGCCATTTTCAACTACATATTTGTGTGAACTGAGCTTCTCAACGTTTAACTGAAATTAAGACCTCAAAGAGGGAGTGGCTCAAATCCATCAATGAAGAAATGAGACCTGCGTTGTCAACGATTCTACCATGGACCAGTCGCCTGTGTGCAGCTACGCAGGTGCAAGTATCACATCGAAGTTATGAGCAGAATTACTGTATTTACTTTAATAGTAATAGAAGTGTATTTTCTACACTCTACAGTGAATTAAAGTTCATTAATTGTTAATAAAAACACGAGTCGATTTCTGTTTAAAGATAATAAAATAATAATATTATAGTAATAAGTTGATCACATTACATATTTATATTAATTGTCTGATATCATGTGTTTTTGAGGGGAATAACATTTTGATGTGTTTGTTGAGTCATGGATACTTCATGGTGTACTGCGAGTAGAAAAAGGTTGCGGAACACTGTTCTAGAGACTAGAGGACATGACATTTCGGAAACTGTATCTGTTTCCATCCACAGGTGAGGAGGGAAGACACCTGATGATCGAAACAGATCCAGTTTCTGAAAAGTCTTGTTTTCTAGACTCTAGAATACCGGGAAATGGAAAAGGTCCAAAAATCCAATAATTCTGAATTATTTTGTTCTCCCTGATCATTTCTGTCATAAAATAGTTTATGAAGAATTCAACCACAGTTTCATGTTCTTTCAGAATGTAATGTCACTGCTTACATATGCCAGCCATGGCTCAAGAAAACAATCATGGGCATCTGTTTCAGTAGTGTGCACAGGGTTTCTGACATAGTTAATAACAGATTTTATTTCCACATATTCAGTCCCTCGAATAGAAATAGAAATTTGGATATATTTATTATATATAATCTGTCAGATCTATGAATATTTATTTTAAAGATGGCATCAAATCAATAATTATTAATATTGATGTTTACTAAACATCTGCATAAAATGAGTGAATTATGATGAAGCTTATCGGTCTTTTATGACACTGAACTAGCAACAAGTGTGTGCATTCAGAATATCATCATAGAGTATACGAGCTTTCTTTTACTGGCCCAGTGCAAGAAGAATAGTTCCTTCTTCCTGTTCCTATTTAATAAATAAATATTGAGTTACCTCAGATGTAAAATAAATTAAGGAATAGGTGTATGGGCACTGGGGGGGGGGGTACCCAGGTATCTGCCTCCCAGATTTTTGAAAAAATATTCAAATTAAAAATGGAAGTAAGCATTCCAAATATTAATACCAACAGTTAAAGTTACTTTTTAAAGAGTATGTTCTTCAGTACTGGGAAAACTAGGGTGGTTTATAAAAATAGTCTTAAGTGGCTTAAATGCTGTGGTTTCCTCTTCTTGAGAGAAATTTCGACAGTTTCAATAAATTGTTATCATGTCATTGTTTAAGAATTCTAGTTGGGACAGTTCTCTCACAAACATGGTAATGAAGTTTTGATTTTCATAAAATGTAAGGAGTTTCTTGACTGGCTGTGTGACTGTTAGCTTTTTAAGAACTCCACTGCATGTGGTTAGTAATACTGAGGCCATCTTCCTTGAGCTGTTACATTCCCACCGCCAGGTGTCTAACTATTCTGTCTACACAGATATTATTTGTGACAAACTTTGCTAGAAGCGAGTCCTTTGGTTTTGGGAAGAAAATGGGGAGGCTTCAACCTCTGTCATCTCCTCCATCTGATCCTTCTGTAGCCTCAGTATAATCTCTTAGTTTTATACTCAGAATTACTGGGTTTTTGGGCTTTGTCCCTTGCCTGGTATTCTAAAGAACTCTGAAAAACACAGCATTTCAGAAACTGGATATATTTCTGTCCTCAGATAAAAGGGGGGAGACACCTACTCACATGAGGACAAAAATGGATCCAGTTTCCGAAACGTTGTGTTCTTTAGAATACCAGGCGATGGATAACTTAAAAAAACCAGAAATCCTGCGTGTCCTACACCGTTGTCAGCCTTTTAGAAACTACTTAACTTTATAGTTTTGAGCAAAGCAACTGAGGTCTTACTTGCGTTTTTTTAATTGAGCATATCTTCTGGATGCACAAAGTGTATTTAAATCCAGAGTTCAGACGTTTTTATCTGTTGTTCAAACTTGAAAAACACATGACTATGAATTTACTTGCTTTGAATATCTACTTTCATTCCATACATTTACTGTATTTTCAAATAAACATGATTTTCATTCTGTGAAACTCATTTTTATTCTGGTGACAGTATATTCAATGCGCTTTTTTCAAAGGTGTCCATCTAAAGATTTCCTTAAGGTAAGAAATAGTTGTAGATTGGCGACTAATATTAAAGTGGATTTTTAAGAGCTATAGACATTGGAGAAATAGACTGAGTTCTGAACTGTCTCAGAATAGATTCCAGTTACTGGATTTTATGAAGAGAGTATTGAATTTGATTTGTTTCATTCTGGTCTGTCACACTAACAATATAATAAAAAGATGAAACAGTTCTGTCCAGTGTGACTGGTGAAAATTTTTCTTATTTCAGTTCTTCATGCCCTTACATGTTTTGGTCCTTAGAGACCGTCATCAGAGGGACACCAATACAGTTTGGAAACCACTATTACAATAGGTGTTCTAAGTGTTAAAATATATATACATACAATGTTGACAGTACACAAATGGATACAAAATCCAAAGTTTTCACAACTGCAGCGTCTGTGTTGATATATTAAAATTTTGTTAGTTAAGATAGCACAGTGCACCACGAACAACCACAGGATGACATCAAAGAACCTTCTTCTCAAGAAAGACAGGCGGTACAAGTTCGGCCCCCATCAGGAGAGGTGACAAGAGAGAGGACACGAACCAATTTAGTTTATAAATTCTAACTTAACTAACAAAATGTTAATATATCAAGACAGCCACTGTATTTGTGAAAACTGTGGATTTTGTATCCATTTGTGTATTGTCAGCATTGTGTGTATATACATTTTAATGCTCGGAACACGTATTGTAACAGTGGTTTCCAAACTGTATCGATGTCCCAGTGATGATGGTCTCTAAGGACCGAAACATGTAAGGGCATGAAGAATTGAAATAAGAAAAATCTTCACCAGTCACACTGGATGGAACTGTTTCATCTTTTTATAAGGGTATTGAACTTTTGTGGTCCATAAAAGTGGGAAGAATCATGACAAATTAGGTAAATTTTTACTTAACTGAGGAAGACTCTGCAACATAGAGTTGAAAGTTGAGTTCATATAACACTCTTACACACTGAAACGTTTGAACAACATGGTTACTGTTTCCAGGTGTCCACATGATCATAACATCTTTCCAGCACTTCAGGTCGAAAGAGGAGTCCGGGATTTGTTTGCTGACTTCAAAGCATTTCGATTCCCTTCAACATCTACTGTTAATTTTGTGGCAACTGTTCAGTTCTGCCAGGATATTTGTGAACCAGTGAGTAAAGAGTTGATTTCGATTTGTAGAATGATGTGTGTAACTTTTTCGAACAGTCACTTTTTGAACGAATGTTTTCAATTTAAGCTTTTCCTTCATTCACTATTCATTTTCAATGATTCTAAGTCAGTAATCTCAGTGTTAACCTTTGTGGCATATGGCCTTCAAATTTGCTTGAACTTACTCAGGACCAGGGCCGTTTAAAATTGAAATTCTCATTTCTATCATGTCACTGGATGGTTAGCAAAGAATTCACTTACCTGTGTATGAAATTTTGAATCAAGCACCTTTATATAGGCAGCTTTATTTATGTTCCCACGCATTTGCTTTAACTACTAGCAGGCTCCACCCCCCCCCCTTTTCAATGACAATTGTGCGGAATGTGTGCCACAGCCTTCTGAACAGAACTGTATATGATAACAAGACACCTAATGTTTCGTACTTGACAGGGAACATTTGTGGAATAGAGAGGTCAGAGATTCATGGTGTTATGTTTCACAGTTCATAAACATTTGTTTAATGAGGTCTGCCTTTGTTTGCTTTTCTTAGAAGACTAACCAACTTCACTTGCCAGCTGCATTTTTATAATGCCTCAACGCGCAAAGGAACTATTAATTACCTAAATTGAGAGTGAACCACAAAATTAATGGTGTATACTGCATTTTGTAATTAATAATCACAAACAGGAGCTGGTAAAACAATCGTGTAACTCATCTTCATTCCATTACTTTTTAATTTTTGAAATCTATATGCAAATTCTTTGTATTGTAATTTTTTATATTTCTCTCCCTCATCCCCTCAGTGACACTAAAGTCACATTCAGTGTGGAGAAGCAGAATTTATTTATTGCTTGCATGGGCAGGGGATTGGCCTTTACTGGGGCTACCTGCAGACCACAGTTGCAGTTACAGTGACCATGTGATACGGTTTGTTTGCTTCCTTCTGAGTGCAAAACATGACTTTGCAGACGAGACTTCAGGAGTAAGACATAGCACACGCTCTAATGTTAGTCAGTGATTCAGATGAACAATTGTCTTCTCCATAAATAATAAAGACAGTGCAATGAAACAGTGCAGGCAACTGACTACCGAAACTCGATCTTCTGGACCTCCAACCCACAGCTTCCCAGGGGTGTCCAGTGGGTTCAACAGAACAAGGCACCTCATATTATGAAAAGCTCTACATTACTGAGCATTTTCGTTCTATTTTTCTTTAAACTTATGCAATAGTTGGTGGAAAAGACTAAAAGATGTACCTGTCAGTATTTAGACATGCTTATATTTGGCAGCAGATATCAAACCTTTACATCCGCGGTCATGCTTATCTCTCCACTGTTTGATGGATGTCCTGGAGCATTGTCTAACAACAAAATTTTAAAGCACAATAATGTAGCATAGATAGCAATAAAAACTTACAGTATTCAACTTCACAAACTGAGTTCTAAAATAAAGTTACCGTTAAGTAAAGAGCCAATACTGCACACAGGAGTCTGCTGTATAATGAACGTATACTGTATACCCAAATGTGGTGTTGCCATGAATACAGTACATGCCCAGAAGCACGGTGTAAAAATCTTTCATGGTAGTGGGAGCACAGTGTAAAATATTCTAGAATTTGGGGAAAAAATAAAGAAAATTACTAGACAATGTTGGATATTAAAATTGGTTTATATAAAACTGTTGTAAACCAAAGGTCTACTGCAGTGGTTCTCAAACTTTGTCCAACTACGGCCTGGTAAATTCTTTTTTACTATAAGACGGTCTGGTATGATTGATGCCAGGGCCCAGTGCCAGGCTGCAGCCCGGCAGTTGAGAAACATTGGTATACTGCATTCAACATCCATAATAATGCATATGTTAAGTATAACAGTCCAACTGAACATTCAGCAGCCAGTGAAATCATTTAGTTTTTGAAGCTAAAATATTCTTCAGACAATGTATATGCAGGAAACACAACTGGTATGGAATCCCCATATACAAACTGTGTGATTCTGAAGGATATGCATACAGTTTGACTGTGTATTTAGGCAAAGAAAGGGAACATGCTACTGCTACAGTGACAGCTACTCATGAACTTGTGGTAGAATTCACTGCAATGATTGAAAATGTGGAACACAAACTCTTCATGGATAGTTTCTTCTCATGGCCTGAATTATATGATGATGGAGTAGTAAACTTTGCAACATCCAAAAATCTTATTATCCAAAACATGATGTTCCTACATCATAACATTCATGAATTTACTTGGACATCTCCTGATGGAAAGATGCACAACCAAATTATTATTTTTTTACTGCAATTGGGTGTTCACCCGGTGGCAGTAGAACTTACACCAATACAGATAAGGAAAGTCTATAACATAAGGGAACGATACAAAACAAAATACATACAATAAACAAGATATACACAATGCAAATCCAACTGTGTGAAGAAGAACAAAACAAATCGAAAAAATTGACTCTATTTTGATAGATATGAGACAGCATTCAAGTATATTTGATGTTCAGTCATTTAGGGCAGCAGATTGTGGTACTGACCACTACCTGGTGGTGGCAAAGGTTAGGGAAAAACTGGCAGTGAGTAAGCAAACAATGCACATAGTTCATGTGGAGAGGCTCAATCTCAAGAAATTAAACAGGGTAGAAGGTAAAGAGCAGTATTACGTTGAAATCTCAAATAGGTTCACAGCTTTGGAAAACTTGGACACTGACGTGGAAATATTAGAGAGAATATCAAAATTTATGCCAAGGAGAGTCTAGGTTATGATGAATTTAAAAAGCATAACCCATGGTTCGATGAAGGATAACCAAAATTATTAAATCAAAGAAAACAAGCCAAATTGCAATGGTTACAGGATCCATGCGAAATAAATGGGGATAATCTGAACAATATAAGATGCAAAACCAGCAGGCATTTCAGGATTAAGAAGAGGGATTATCTGAAAGACAAAATTGATGAGCTTGCAACGAACAGTAAGAAAAGAATATTAGAGACCTGTATTGAGGAATAAATGATTTTAAGAGGGGTTACCAACCTAGCAGTAACTTAGTGAAGGATGAGAATGGTGACCTGCTTGCAGATTCCCACAACGTTTGAATAGGTGCAAGAACTACTTCTCTCAGTCATTGAATGTGCATAGGCATATAGAAATACTTGCAACTGAGCCATTAGTACCAGATCTTAGCCATTCAGAGTTTGAAATTTCTATTGGAAAGTTGAGAAGGTGTAAATTGTCAGGTAGTGATCAAATTCCAGCAGAACTTATTTAAGCAGGAGGCAAAGTATTGCATTCTAAGATCCATAAGCTAATTACTTTTATTTGGAATAAGGAAAAATTGCCTGATCAATGGAAGGAGTCTTATTATTGTACCAGGTCAGAAGAAGGGTGATAAAACTTACTGTAGTAAATATCGGGAGATATCACTGCTATCAACTTCATACAAAATTTTATCCAATATTCCTCTCAAGGTTAAGTCCATATGCAGATGAAATTATTGGGAATCAGTGTGGGTCACAACGTAACAGATGAACTACAGATCATATCTTTTGCATTATTCAGATACTGTAGAAAAGATGGGGGTGCAATGAGACAGTACATCAGCTATTCATAGACTTCAAGGAAGTCTATGATTAATTTAGAAGGGAAGTGTTGTACAATATTTTCATAGAGTTTGGGATAACCATGAGACTAGTTAAGCTGATTAAAATGTGTTTAAACAAAACTTATAGTGAAATCCATATAGGTAAACATTTGTTTGATAATTCTTCTATCTTGAGTGGTCTAAAACAAGGAGATGCTTTATTTCCACTGCTTATCAACTTTGCTTTAGAATATGCCATTAGGAAGGTCCAGGAAAACCAAGTGGGACTGAAATTAAATGGGACACATCGGCTGTTGGTCTGTGCTGATGATGTATATGTACTGGGTGATAATATCATCTCACACGGGCAGGTACACACAACAAAAATGACGGGTTCTAGTTTGGATGATTAGATTTATTAGCCCCTTCATTACAGTGTCTCTTAATCACAATTAATACAGTCAGTACATTACTATTGCTGATTTACACACACACACACACACACTCTCTCTCTCCCCCCCTCTCTCTCGACCCTCTCCCCCCCTCTCTCTCCCTGTGTCTCTCTCTCTCTGGTCCTCTCCTGTACCACATTTAAAATGCAGGAGCTATAACAGTCTCACTGACTCACATACTTCAAGTATTACAAATAAATGAAGTCCTCACAGGTCAATGAACTTTCTGTGACTGTCTTCTACTCAGAACTCAGAACTGAATAATAACGCCGTTTGTTTTTATGATAACTCCTTTGCACTGAGCCCATGGAAAACATCACCTCCCATTGTTGTGGATATATATTTACCGCTTTGCAGCCATGCAAGAGACTTCCTATATCTCCGTGTTTTTACTCAGTATGGACCATATATAAAACACATTTTCCCTTCTACTGTTGTCTGTATTCTTCATTACAGAGCTGTTTCCTGGCAACATGTTGATCAAATCCATTACAACACAGATACCATAAAGAAAAACACACAAACTTTAATTGATGCTAGTAAGGAGGTTGCTCTAAAAGTAAGCACAGAGAAAACTAAGTACGTGGTGCGTTCAAGTTCTGAGGTCACCAATTTTTTTTTTCCTCACACAATAATCGTACAAAAAATTTGAAACTTCTGTCACTTTTCAACGTAATCTCCCTGCAGCCGTACACATTTTTCACAACATCGATACCCTGATTCAATGGCCGCTGTGAACGCTTCTGTAGGAGTCTGTTTTGACCACTGGAAAATCACTGATGCAATAGCAGCACGACTGGTGATTGTGCGACCATGGAGAGTGTCTTTCATCGTTGGGAAAAGCCAAAAATCGCTAGGAGCCAGGTCAGGTGAGCAGGGAGCATGAGAAACCACTTCAAGGTTGTTTTCATGAAGAAACTGCTACATCGCATATGCCCAATGCGCTGGTGCATTGTCCTGGTGAAAGAGCACACGTGCAGCCTTTTCCGGCCGTTTTTCTTGCAGTGCTGGAAGGAGGTTGTTCTTCAAAACATCTTGGTAGGATGCGCCTGTCACTGTAGTGCCCTTTGGAATGCAATGAGTAAGGATTATGCCATCGCTGTCCCAAAACATGGCCACCATCATTTTTTCAGCACTGGCGCTTACCTGAAAATTTTTTGTGGTGGCAGTGAGTCTGTGTGCTTCCATTGAGCTGACTGGCGCTTCGTTTCAGGATTGAAAAATGGCATCCATGTCTCATCCATTGTCACAAGTGATGAAAAGAAATTCCCATTCATGCCTCCATAATGTGTCAACTTCGCCTGGCAAATTGCCATGCGCGCAGCCTTGTGGTCATCCACCAACATTCGTGGCACCCACCTGGAGGACAGTTTCTGCATTCGCAGGTCTTCATGCAGGATTGTGTGCACAGATCCCATGGAAATGCCATCTTTGGAGGCGATGTTTTCCACACTCAATCGGTGATACCCCAAAACAACTTTCTCAACTCGCTCGACCATGTTGCCAGACCGGCTGGTGCAAGGCCGAGCTTGTTTTGGTTCGTTGTCACACGATGTTCGGCCTTCTTTGAACTCTCGCACCCACGAACGCACATTTTTCACATTCATGACACCATCACCACGTCTCACTCAACTGGCGATGAATTTAAATGGGTGTCGCACCACGCAAGTGGAGAAAATGAATGATTACTCGCTGTTCTTGTAATGAAAACGTCGCCATTTTAGGTATCAAAAACACTCCTCACTCTCACTGCCACCACTAGAGTTCTATGTGCCCTACAGTGCTGCCATCTCTGTCATGCATTCATGCACATGTATTTTAAACTAAACCGCATATGTCTATCTGCTCCCAGTCCTGAGAAAAAAATCGGAGACCTTAGAACTTGAACATCCCTCGTATATGTTGCTGTCTTGTCACCAGAATACAGGGCAAAATCACGACATGAAGATAGCTGACAGATGTTTTGAAAATGTGGCACAGTTCAGATATTTGTGAATGACTCTAACAAATCAAAACCTGATTCAGGAGGAAATTAAGAGGAGGTTGAATCTGAGTAATGCTTGCTACCATTCAATCCAGAATCTTTTGTCTTCTCATCTGCTGTCTAAAAACAAAAATTAGAATATACAAAACTATTTTAAACTCATCTATCTCCATTCCCTGTTCTGTACTATTCACTATTCGTTGAAAAGTCAGTACAAATTCTTGGGTTTTTATGTGATTTTTATAAACATTATTGAATTTGATTAGTTTCCTGTTTATTTTGTAAACTGTGTATGGAATCATGCTTGTAAATATGGCTCAACATTAATTTCTAATTTCTGAAACTGCAGCACTGCAGTAAGTGGAATTTGAGCAATGCAGTTGCATGATATACATTAATGTTGTCGTCGTTGTTAGTATTATTTAGCAGCAGCACCAACAAATTGAATTTGTATTCTTGAAAATTAAGAGAACATTATACATAAGGAATGTTTGCTACTATTCAGTTCAGACTCCTGTGTCTCCTATCTGTTGTCCAGACATATAAAGATTACAGTTCACAAAACTATAATTTTTGCATTAGTTTATGTGGGTGTGAGGACCAAATGTGAACCTAAGAGCAAGCAGTAACAAGAGACTAGAGGAAACTGCACAATGAGGAGCTCCATAGCCTGTGCTCCCTGTCAAATGGCAGAATGATCAAATGAAGGAGGATGAGATGGGCAGGGCATGTAACATACATGGAAGAGAATAGACTGAATAATATTTTGGTGAGAGCATGAAAGAAGGAAACCAGTGGAAGATTTACACATAGATGAGAGGAGAGTATTAAAATGGATCTTAAAGAAAATGGTGGGAGGATCTGGACTAGTTTCATATGGGTTAGGATAGGAAGGGTGACAGGTTTCTGGAAACGTGGTGATGAACCTTCAGGTTCCATAAAATTCATGGAATTTCTTGAGTAACTGAGCAACTGCTAAGTATTCAAGAATGACTCAGCTCCATGGTGTTTTTCGGTCGGTTGTATTAATCTGAATTTATTTTCTTATAGTTAAAATTCAAATATGTTAGATAATATGGCAAATTAAGACATTTAACTTGCTAAATGGCTCTAGCATTATATTACATAATGTTAATTTAATGTGCAAACAAAAGTATATGTGATGAGTTTCATTATTCATTTCTGTTGCATGGGCATTAGAAGCCTGACCTATGTTGTACCTCACAGTTATTTACAGAACGTTATAAAACTTAATCGCAGTAAGAATATATAAGACTGGGGATTTTCACAGTAGTGAAGGTTTAGGTTATGGACTTCTGGATTGTGACACTGTGTAACATGTCTGATAGTTCCAACGTTTCTAAGGAACCTATTTCCTTTATTTTCCTATATGCCTTGTAGATGAAGGCAGCAGGTTTCATCAGAACCCTCGTAACCACTTATCAGAATATTTAGTCTTAACACAGAATTCCATATTTAAATTAATAAGGATATCATGTTCCTTGCATGTGTTTTCTTCTAAATTGAAGTTGTTGGTGTGTGCTATGCAGTGCCAAAATAAAATGTCTGTGAGCAAGAAAAATATAATTTGTTTTCTTGGATCAAAGCAACTCATTTAACCTTTAAGTGCCGAAGTGCCCCGTTTGTGCCAGTGGTGAGTAAAATCGTCGTGGCCAAAGTACCCCGTTTTGGCCAGTCAGGCATTTAAATTCCGCTAGGGGAAGTGCGCGCACCCGCTGCTATTAGAAGCGCATGCACAGTCCTAAATATTTATTTTTAAATGTATTAATTACCAGACAGACTTGAGTAAAGCCTTATAGAAAAATTAAAATGATACCCAACTGAACAACAACAAAAAGAGTATACGTATGAGTTATGCCCAAACTCATCCACGAGCGACTACTTTTATTGCAGATTCTGCAGAATAATTAGTTAAAAATATATAGTAAAATTCGATGTACATACCTTTTTTGTTGTTATTTGCTTGATGTATATATAGGCTGATATAAAACTACAGTATTCGATTTCACTAAGCACACACAGAAAACAGACCGCACTCTGAATCTCAGCCGCGATGCAGCTGTCTGTTCAGGCCCATAGAAAGGGCAATAAGCTTTTGTAGCTATAACGGAAGGTCTTAGCACTGAAGAACGGACCCCTCTAGCTTTCTCTTGAATAACCATTCTTTCATTCTTCTGACCTTCAGACAAAGATTCGAAAATCCGAAGTGTAAGCAGTGCTAGCAGAAGACCAAATGATTTTATGGCTTCCATATGTTTTATCGCATCAGGGACTGCTAAAATTTGTCAATTGTTACAAACAGAAATGAATTTGTAATGCAGAACAACTCTGTGAAGAACTGAGAAACCATTTATGCAGTACTCATCAAAATTAAAAACAAAATATTGAAAATAGAGTATAATTTGTATAAAAAATTTCAAATCTTCCGTTATAATATGCGACAGTATGTTCTTTGCTGATACAAACAAAATTAATTCCATCCGTTTATCATAAAAATTGAGTTAGATACAGCATTTGTAAACACAAAGCTTAAATTGTTTAGGCGCACTAACAGAAACAGACATTTAAACGCAGAGTAGCAATGGGCATTTAAACGCGCAGCACCAGCGGGCATTTAAATAAACTCCGGCCAGCTCAAGCTTACCACTATTTCAGAAGTCTGGCGTTTAAAGGTTAATAAGTAAACATATACATTTTATTCCAAGGTGAAGCAAAAGCCTGGCTTCTTGGTTGCATGTGTCAACTGATGACTCTTTGTGCATCCAGTGATGCTCTTTAGTATGTTGATTGGCCACACCATAGCTCAAGAGGTTAGTCGCTGGCGTCCCACCACAGTGGCCCGGGTCTGGTCAAGTGGAATTTGTGGTGGACAAAGTGACGCTGGGGCAGGTTTTCTCCAAGTACTTCGGTTTCCCCTGCCAATCTTCATTCCACCATTTGCTCGACAATCACCCTCACCTATCATCTGGGGCTGGTACAATAGGCCAGAAGTGGCCGCAGTACAAGGGACTTAGTCCCACCCCACTAGCATTAAAAAAAATAATAGTATGTTGATTGGAACCGCACTGTTGAGGAAAACTAGCTGCATGTTGAAGATAAATGTAACATAACGCCATAACATAATTTCTGCAATATTTTTATGAAGTCTGAAGTGTGCATTATGGTATTAAGTTTGAATACTTCAAGGCCATGATGGAGTTACTTCATGCATTCATGCAGTTTGACAGAGAAAGTCTAATTAATTTCCTTTCAGATTCGTTGTAATAACGGTGTGCATTCATTTGGAAGACGTCGGCGGTCAACCAATAGCACGCTGGATACCGATGAAGAATCAGAACCGGAAATTGACAGAAATGTGACAACAAGTGAATCATCCAGTACACAAGGTCCTTTAGATCAGCCATCCTCATCAAAATCTTATGAAGCTGAAAATACTACCATGAACATTGCAAACGTGTCTCAGAGTGAAGAAGTGGAAAACGAAGAGGCACCAGGTGATGTATATGCTAAACTAGCAGCCTCATATTCATGAGATAGAACCAACCTCTTGTGAGAAAATTATGCCCTTGAAACTCCACTTTTATAACCGTTTTTTTAATGTTCCAAATGTCCTTATTGTTGATGGTCTCTGCCAAAATATTCACTCTAATTATGTACATCCAAACAAACTTCAGTTCCCTGGTGTAAATAAATACATTGATACTGAGTAAGTTGATTAATCCATCAAGTTATAAGCAAGTATATCATATGAAGACCATATTCTTGTTATTTTGATACATTATATCTTCTTGTTACACTCATACAAGGGTTGGATAAAAAATAGTGGCAACACTGCTGTAACATGAAAGATGTGCGTCAGGTGGCACTAGCACTGTCTGCAGCTGATAGCAGAAGTTCAGTTGAAGTAGTGCAGTTAGTGACTCTGGTTGTGTTTCATTGAGTTGCATTGTGCATCATCTTGGAAGTGCAGGAGCCCAGTTCAAGCACCCTAACAACATGTTTACCAAACAAAAACAACGCTCCTGGATAAAAATTGAAGTTGCATGAGGTCGTAGTGCACAAAACTGTTATCAGGGAATGCGAGAAGCATGTGGTGATGCTGCTTTGCCATATCGCACAGTGGCGCATTGGGTGAAATTGTTCCGCGAAGGGAGAGATGCCATCCAGGACAGCCATTGTTCAGGATGACCCCATGTTGACAACCACACAATTCAGCTTCTTGCTTCTTTGCTGGATGTCAATTGTCGATGGGCTGTGCGGGAGTTAGCTGCTGAGGTAGGCATATGTCACAAAACTGTGCTCCACATTCTGCACGATATTCTTGGATACTGCAAAATTACAGCATGTTGGGCACCCCATACAATGTCCAAGGTGCAACAATGGAAACGTTATGATATTGCATAAGACTTGTTGGAACAGTACCAGAGGGAAGGTGACGACTTCCTTGGAAGGATCAAGGATCGTCACTCTGGACGCAACTTGCGCTCGCTCATATGAACTGCACTTGAAGCGACAATCAAATGAATGGAAGCATCCTGGCTCTCCTCATCCAAAGAAAGTGCGCCCTACACAGAGTAATATGAAGGTGATGATCATTGTGGCATATGGCATTGATGGAGTGATACTGCACCACACTGTTCCTCAGTGACAGACAGTCAATGGTGCCTACTACTGCAATTTCCTGCATAATCATCTTCCAGCTCTCAGGAGAAAGTGACAACACTTGTTGGCAACAAACCCCATCATCCTTCATGATAATGCAAGGGCTCATTCTACTGGTGCTGTCAAGGATCTCCTTCACCGCTGGAGATGGGAGATACTGCAATATTTGCCATACTGACCTGATATGAGTCTGTGCGATTATAATCTCTTTGCCAAAATGAAAGAACCACCACGAGGAACATGTTACAACACAAGAGGGGAGATTATTCATGCTGTAGTGCTGTTACTGCTGGACATCAACAGAAGTGGACGCGCTGATGGTGTACAACGCCTTCCACAAATTTGGCAGAAGGTAGTCCACATGGGGGACAATTATATTGAAAGAATGTAAGTGTGTTCACCTCAGGTAATAAAGTCACTTCAGAACTATAGAGGTGTTGCCACTACTTTTTAACTGACCTTTGTATTAATAAGAATACCATCCAGTGTAACGTATATGAGGTATTTTGTTTTACTGTCATTACATGTTTCAGCCCATATGGGTCATCTTGAGAGGGCATACAAGGAAAGAAATTACTTTAAAATTTAGACAGAACTATAAGATATTATAATTCTAAAGCAGTTTTATATCCATTTCAATGTATGCCTTCTGAAGATGAGCTGTATGGGCTGAAACATGTAAAAACAGTAAAATGAAGTACCTAATATATATTACACTGGATGGTGCTGTTATTAAAATTATTATATTCTTGTTATATTTTAGAATTCTATTATTACTTTATCATAAATCAAATATACATTATTACATCTCATTTTTAAATTACTAGCAAATTGCTTCATGCTGCAGTGTTATATATTTACTGATGCAAAGAACAGAATTAATATGAATATTATGAAAAATGTAAGAGTTGCTGAACAATTGTGCATTTCTAGTAACTGCATCAGCTCATCAAAATCCAGCAACGGACAAGTCAGAGAACATCACCAATGCCAGTGTTCCTGTGACTGAAGCCAAGAACTTGCAAAAGTCAGATGTTGAACTGCCAAGTGAACTTCCAGTACAGCTTAAGGTATGGAAAACGAGTTTTGACCTTCATTTTAAAATTCCCCTCCCATGCAGATTTTGTTCTGATGTTCAAAAATTGTTTGAATTATTTTTTGTATGTAAGTTTAAGGTAAAGACAGTGTAATTTCTATACCTAGGCATTCACTGAAGATTGCCTTATGTTTATTTCACTACTTTGAACACTTGAATGTTTAAACATCCCAAATAGGTCTAACAAAGTGCTTCAGTCTATTCTATATCATTTGGCATTTGTTAATTCTGTTGAGTTCATATCTTATCCAATATCTGCTATAGACACTGAAAAACTGCAGTCATTGGGTGATGACCATGTTGTCTCCTTTCCTTGTTTCTGATTCCGCTTTAATTCAGTTTGAGGAGCAACTTTAGCTATTAAATTTTCAAAGTACACTGAAGTTAAAAAGACTTAGATGGAGCACATGATTCTTGTATTCTGCATTATCAGCAGTGATTAATGAATTGTGGGAGCATGCTATTGATATAATATTTGCCCTTCTTTCACCAAACCTTACTACATTTTCCACAGCAAGCAGTCTCTTTCAATTATCCCACACCTCTCTTGAGGTGCAGGAGTTGAATTCATAGAACAACCAACTAAAACATTAACGTGAATCTCTTCTAGTAGTTTGCATATAGGGAATTTTATATTTCTTGTAACAAAGGGGGTTTTCTCTTCCCCACCCCCAATGAAAATTCATTTAAAACTTGTAGGAATGAGGTTGGAAGTAAGAAGAATGAATGGGTTATTAAAACTGATCTAATAGTTTTGCAAGTCTTTATAAATATATTTGATATACTTATATACATGTACACATGCTTAATTTCAAAACTTTAAAGCATTTAATGTAATGAAGAAATTTATCTCAGTGCTTGTCATTAACATTTAAGTTTTAAAGTCTTCTTAATGGAAACTAATTTAAGTGATTCCATATATAAGATAGTATTTGTTATATGCATTATGGATAAAAACAGCTTACTAGTAGAATCATTTCACACTGCAGGTGTATTGACACTTTTTCAACAGACAATTCTTTTTCAAATTTCATGAGCTACTGTTGGCTCAAAATGAAAATGTAAAAAAGTATCTTTCTACCTCTTATTTATGTCCATTTAATAAATTAAGACTTTCAGATGCGCATAGATGTGGAATCAGATAAGTCATATGTGCAATTGACATTTACAGCTTGTTGACAGAATAACTTGAATCTGTACAGAGTATACTTCATTATAAAATTCTTTCAGTTGAAATGCAATATTGTACAATTGCTTTGCTTAATAATGCCAACTGTATATGTTACATATAAGTAAACAAAGGAAGATTGAATAATGAATTGTAGTGGATGTGGAAGGCATAGGTTTTAATCATTTCTAAGGTTTTGTCATAGGATTCACTTGACTCAGGAAATTATGAAAAACCCACTCAAGACAGCTAGTCTCCGTACCCTTCTGAATACAACCCAAGAATACTGATCACTGCGCCCAGTCATTTATTATTTATATTATTAACTTTTCCAGTTGTGGTCCAAGGTTAGACTTAGTTTGGATAATTACCCAAATTAAGTCTGACACTGGACTGTGGTGTTTGTTACATATGCTGTTAACTACTTTTCTGGTTTCAGTTCAAGGTTAGGTTTTATTTGGACAGTTACCCAAACTAAGTGTAGTTTTTTATCTCTTTATCTCATTGGAACAGGTAATGAAAGATACTGCATTTGTCTTCAAGATTTCTCTATATTAAATCTGTAATATAATACAATAATAGTTAATAACCCATACTTCACATTGCTGCAGTTAGTTGTTGGCCCTAACTCATTGCCTGAGCTGCCAAAGAGTCTCAGAAACAGCAGTTCCAAAAGCCACCTGATGACCACAGTAAATAACATTGTGACTGGAGTCAGAGATGCAAGTTATCCAACTGGAATGACAGAAAGAGGTAAGTATTTACATACAAAATCTGTAAACAACCTAAAAATGCAGCTGCTATTCCATGGCCTGAGAGCCAGGTTAGCACAGTTGGTATAGCAACTGTGCTATGGTTTGGACACCCCAGGGGTCAGAGTTCGAATACTTAATAAGGACAGGATTTTTCTCCTCTCCATGTTGTCCTGACCACTGAGGGCTCTTTCCCCAAGGGTAAAGCGACCAGAATTTGAAGCTGACCACACACATCCAAATAGTGCCAAGGTCAAGAAAATGTGTACATCCACTCCCCCATTCATCTTCATGGCATTGTGCTTAATTGATTAAACACAGGGACAGCTTTACCTTTTTCATGCCCTTTTCACTGCAATAAGATACACTTACATATGTATGCATGTCTGTATCTGAATGCATATTACTGTTAATAATAATAACATAGAAATTAAAGATGACAGGGAACACATTCATATGCAAATTGTTACAAAGATGTTGAATGTTTCAGTTAATTATTAACTTAAATGATATAAACTCCATCTCAAATGCAAACAATATATTTTGTGTCTTTGATCTTGCTTCCCCACACTACATGTTTCGGCCTCAGACGGCCATCATCAGGTGTATAACACTCACGTCGCTGTCACACTGCACCCAGCTCAAAATTTAACATCTAAAACACTCTCCCTGTCATTATCAACTTCCAATCCGTTGATAGCTGTCTGGCTCATAGATTATTTCACACACGTTAATTTTACTTTATTGTAATGGCACCANGTAATAAAGAATAGCAGCGGCACGCACACAGAAAGACTACACAGGATAACAACTATACAGTGTGGAAACAAGAACTAGCCGCTGCAGCACTTTAAACATAGGGCGAATAACCCTAATAATTTTAAAATTTTAAAATTTGGAGAAAGAATTTAAAGGTTTTAAAATTAGAACTAAAGATTTTATTATGGTGCCATTACAATAAAGTAAAATTAACGTGTGTGAAATAATCTACGAGCCAGACAGCTATCAATGGATTGGAAGTTGATAATGACAGGGAGAGTGTTTTAGATGTTAAATTTTGAGCTGGGTGCAGTGTGACAGCGACGTGAGTGTTATACACCTGATGATGGCCGTCTGAGGCCGAAACATGTAGTGTGGGGAAGCAAGATCAAAAACACAAAATATATTGTTTGCACTTGAGATGGAGTTTATATCATTTATCGTATAGAGTGCAACAGGATGCTTAAATATAATTATTAACTTGTTAGTTTCGATATTACTTCCACATACAAAGAAGTCACAGGGAAATAAAATAACTGAAAGAAAAATCCCCAGAATTTTTTTCTTTAATTGAGATATTTGGCAAGTTTTGTATGCTTTTTCATTTAATGGTTTTGCAAATTAATTTCATACAGTATAATCAGTACTTTCCTTTAAGGAAATATAGGTTCCAGAACCCTGGTACATAATCTGCAATTTTATCTACATTAATAAATACAATCTAAATTACTCTAATTTATTAAAACAGGGTCTTATAGACTAGCTTAATTTCAACAAACATTTCTAATTGTTTCTGTGTTTATACATGTGGTTTCAGGAGGTTGTGGTAGGTTCTGCTAGGGAAGAATCCTATATATTGACTTTTTTTATATATAATACCATCAAAATCCACAGTTTCACTGATGTTCTGATGCTTCAGCAGTGTAAGAACAGTTTAAAATCCAGCATGAAATATCCATGGTTGGATTGTATCAAAAATGTATAAAGGAATTCTATTAGTATACTCAGTATGACTGTTTCTTTATATCAAAACCAAGTAAGTGACTAAAATGTGATAAAGGTAATGCTGTCCCTGTGCTGAATTAAGTGCCATATCATAAAGGTCCAAGGGTAAAGAGGTGTTTCTCCATACATTCTTAACTCTGGCAATAAATGGAAGTGAGTGATCATCTTTATGCCCCAGCTGTTTTATGCCATGGAAAGAGCCTGTGGTATTCACTGGATAGGAGGCTGAGTGGCTCCCAGAGCCAGTCTGAATACTGGGAAGAGAAAAATGCTTTCTCATGCTGGCAAACCCTGATTCCCTGGTCATCAAGCTGTAGCATAATCACTGTAGCAACTGAGTTGTGCCAGCATCTATCACTAAAACATGACATATGAAAACCAAAATATATAGGCAGTCAGACATATCATGAAACATTATGTGCAATGTGAGACAATTTAATTCCTGGAATGGCCCTGTGAATGCAAAATTTGCTTATTTGTGCACTGGCAGCTGCTGTCACCTTCGAAATACTCTCCTAGTGAAGCTATGCACGTCATGAGACTATGGTGCCACTGCTGGAAACAGTATTGAAAATTGTTTTCCAGAATACCTCACAGTAACATTGTCATGTTGCGTTGGATGTCAGGAATGTCAGCAAATCTATGTGCATTCAGGGAATTTTTTTATTTTGGAAAGAGCCAAAAATTGCAAGGGGGCTAAGTCAGATAAATAAGGTGAATGGTTCATTTTTGTAATGGATTTCTTAGCAACAACCTCACGAATTCTTAATGCATCATGTGGAGACCAGAGTTCAGGTCATTTCCTCTGAACAGATTCCCATAAACTTGTCAGCACTTCCAAATAACACTGCTGATTCGCTGTTTGATTGTACTCCATCCACATTTGCATCTGTCCTCTACGTTTTTGGCTGCCCACGTCTTGGGTCATCTTGCACATCATCTTGCCCTTCCTTCAACCACCTGTGTCATTCATGAACACTCAATTTCTTCATACTATATTCACCATAAGGCACTGCTCACAGGGCTGACATTTCACTAGGACTTTTACCAGTCTTCACAAAAAACTTGATCATGCCATAACTCATGTAGTTCATGTTACAGCAGCTGCCTAGTCACTTGAACAATTGTATGCTTAACCACCAGCAAGCTTAAGCCTCGTTTTTTTTCTGTGTTGGGGTTTGCCTCTTCCAATATCATGAACATTTGCATTTTCATGATTTTGTATGACCTCTGCTCAGATTGTTACATGCACAATTTCGTTATGGAATCATAAATATATGGTACTTGGAAAGCCGTGCACAACTCACAGACTGGTGTGCACTGTAGAATCTTACCAATGCTCTGGAAAAACTGGTTTTGCAAGCATTGCAATTTCCAAAGGTGGGTATGAGCCACAGGTTCACAGACATAGCAAGCTTAAGTCATTACTGATTTAATTAGTGCTTTTTCTTTTCCTTGGCACTACAGCCCCAATGGGCCTAGGCCTACCTCCATGAACTTCTCCGTTCACTTCGGTTTTCTAGATCTTACACATTCGGTGGGACTCCTTGGGTGGGTGATCAGCTCATCGCAAGGCCTCTACCTGTACACAGACACAGAAAAACGCACACACACAAACTAAACATCCATGCCCTGAGTGGGATTCGAACCCACAATCCCGGTTTCCAAGCAAGCGAAGACAGTACATGCCTTAGACCTCTCAGCTACCGTGACCGGCTAATTAGTGCTTTATGGAGGGTTAATTTAATGTTAGTGTTGAACCACTCACTTTTGAATAGGGAATAATCTCTAATAAATGTTATAAATGCCTTGGCTTCCATCATTTCTATAAGCAGTCTTCAGAAATTTTATCGATGATTATTCCAAGCTATTTACATGATTCACAAGGAGGAGGTTCTGTCCGATCAATGTTCAGTCGGTCAGCTGGTTAAATTGCTGCTGGCTTTGCCAGCACAGTCATTCCTGGCTTCAGTCTCCTCGAGATCCATGACCAAGTTATTTATTCCTTTTGCTGGGTTTGAGCAGAGTTATGATTTTTGCCTCCTTCCAATGTGCCAGGAAGTTACCAAGCCAGAGGCAGTAATTGAACAAATGTGTTAAATACACAAGAGATGTTGGAAGGTGCCAGAGACATTCATTTGGAATGCCATCAAAACCACAGGCTTTTCATAATTTCAAGTTTGTATTTCTTTTGAAACATCACAGAGTCTGAAAGTAAGAGGTGTATCTTCTTCGATGGTATCCAACAGAAATTCTATACTTGAGCCTTGACATGTTGTCTGTGGCTATAGCCACCCAAGTCATGCGCTCCGAACTGGTTTTCCAGGCAGTCAGTGGTTATGTTGGCTTTATTGATTGGCTCAAATATGGAGCCAAAGGGACCAAGAACTGCAGATGGTGCCTTTGGTCCACCACTTTTTGAGAGGGTTTTTGCAATAAGCAATATTATTTGAGGTGTGATTTCACAGTTTACCAACTCTGTTTCCTAACTTGCAGGTGCTCTCTCTCTCTTCCTTTTTTTACCATTTTCCTGATATTTTGATGTTTACTGCTGTTTTGCATGCTGGATCCCTGGTTTCTTGACATAATTTTCTGAACTTTCTTTTGTGGTTTAATAAAGGATCTAGGCCAGGTATTGCATATTTCTGGTCTAAAATTATAGTTTTCTTAGTTTAATAGATCATTGAAAGTCACAGTGCAAGGGCCAGTTTTTATGGCCCACCCCTTACGCACATAGTTTCCTTAGTTGGTATTCTGTATGCCAAGGCTACAGATTGTGCAAAGTTGCATACTGTTTTATCAATTTCATTAGAGGAGTGAATCTGGGCATTTGGAGATGAGGCTTTGAAGCAGCTCCCATTCTGTCAGGTTTTCAACTGGGTCTCAAGCCTCCCTTGTTCCAACAGGATCCAGAATGCTAAACATTATTGATAGGTGATCTGAGTCCAGGATGTAAGTGACAGTGACCTCTGGCAGTCAGATTTCCTCATACTAAAATATCGAGAACATCACTTCTGCCATCAGGTGTGTAATGTGTAGGGCCTGGATCTTTATGCGCTAAAAACATTTAAAATATGCACTAAAAACACTTAATATAGGCGCTGAAAAGCGGGAAAATATGCACTTAAGAAATGGGTCACTTCATTCAGACTCACCTGTTTACATGTATCAGTGACTGCAGAAAGTTGCATCACAATAGGCAACTAGAAGTCTTTCAGTGTTTTGTGGAGACAAACT